TCTTTGCTTACAGAGTTTTCTTATTTGTTAAGTACAGAAATATTCTTGAGAATCTTCATTTCTTCTCCTTTCATTCAATTTTCATTCCTTCCAATGGAGCGTTAGATGGACATTTGTATTCATTACACTTAACCCAACAGTATACAGCTGGAATGTATTCAGGTTGGCTTCTTGTTCATCTAGCATCTTTTTCATGAAAGTAATTATCTCCCAAACAACAATTAGAAAACTTCCAAAAAGTTCAATCAATTGATATTGACCTTACAATTTGGCAACAAACCTTGCACGCTAACATCCATGCATTTCAATACGAAATTCAAATGTTCCACTATTATGATTATCTTTGCTAACCCAGATATGACTTGTTTTCCACTAATTTGCCATCCAAAGTTCAATCTGGCCAGAGTCAAATAAAATTGATTGCAAAATTTGGCATCAAAGTTGGCACCCTAACATTCATGCATTTCAGTGGGAAGTTCTGAAGAAGTAACTAAATTTTTCCTGTATGAAAACCATATTTGCACATTCAAATTTGGTTTATTTTCTTTTAATTAGGCTTCCCTGTTTATAAAAATGTTCACTCTGGCCTGAGCCAAATAATATTAATCATACAATACAACACAGAACCTGGCACCCTAACATTAATGAACTTCAAAGGGAAATTCTGAATAGGTAACCAGAAATATCCTCTTCTAAAACCATCTTGGCACCATCTCTACTAACTGGCATCCCTCTATATGAATAAGATCAAACTGTTCTGCCAAAAATATATTAATCATGAGATTAATATGCCAAACCTGGCCAACTAACATCCATGCTTTCAGTTGTAATAAGTAACCATGCTGTTTCACTATGAAAACAACATTGGCTCACCTAGATCTGGCTTGTTTTTGACTGATTGGGCATCCATTATAGGCCTGAGTCAAGTGATAGTGATCGCAAAATATTGCATTAAATTTGGCACCCTAACATCCATGCATTTCAATAGAAAATTTTGAATAAGTCAATAATCAATCTTTTTCCCCTATAAAAAACATATTGGCTCACCCAATTTTTTTTGTTTTCTTCTGATAGGGCTTGCGTCTAAAGAAAACAGTTCAATCTGGCCTCAGTCAAATTGTATTGATCCCGCTATATTACAAGAAACCTGGCACCATAGCATCTATGCATTTCAATAGTTAATCCTAAAAAGGTAAACAATTTTTTGCTCTATGAAAACCACCTTGGCTCACTCAGATTTGGCTTGTTTTCTACTATTTTACATCGCTCTACAGGAAAAAGTTCAATTGGCCTGAGCTAAATGATATTGATCACAAAATATGCAGTCAAACCTGGCACACTAACACTAATACATTTCAATAGTAAATTCTAAATAAGTAACCAAGCTTTTCTTCTATGAGTACCATATTGGCACACCAAAATTTGGTTTCTTCCTTCCCTTCCTGCCCCCCTTAACATAGTAAAATCTTACATTTATTCCAGTCTGATGCTGCTGGCTCTGCCTCTGATCTGCCTCCTTGGCTGACATCATTAGAAGTGATGATCTGAGCCAATCACAATGCTTTCTCACCCACCCTGGCCAGTCAGCATCGCCTCATAGAGCTGCATTGAATCAATGCATATCTATGAGGAAAGTCCAGTGTCTCCATGTAGAAGGTGGAGACACTAAATGTCCGTGCTACTGTGCAGCACTGTCCTAGGTAGCACCTCTAGTAGCCATATGAAGAGTCGCCACTGAAGGTATCCCTAGGCTGTAATGTAAACACTGCATTTTCTCTGAAAAGGCAGTGTGTTTACATTAAAATACCTGCAGGAACATGCTATAGACACGATAACAACTACATTAAGCTGAAGTTGTTCTAATGACTAAAGTTTCCCTTTAATCTAGATTGAACCTTTTGGAAATAGTTTTTTTGTTCTTTAGTAAATAATTACTTTTATTAAAAAAAAACGCTGGTTGAACACGAAGCCAACCTACATAATAAGCACGGTGAATATGAAGCCAACTTCAGTCTTCATATAAGAAGCTGACTTTGGCATCATTCTTTCATATTAGTATACATAGTATAATGCAGGGAAAGACTCACAGGCTTGCAGGTTTCATATTAATATAAATGGTACAATACAGAGAAAGGCTATCCCTGTTTATAGTATATATTCTAATATGGCAGATAACATGTATGAATATTCTTGAGAATCTTCATTTCTTCTTCTCCTTTCCTTCTTTTCTTACCTCTCAGTAGATCTTTTGTAGTAGATGGATTTGTTTTCTTTACAATTCCCATTAGAAGATCTGCAATAATTCCACGCTAGATACTAATATTTCATAATACCCTTAGAGATGAAGACTGAATATACAACAAGCTGACTAGTGAATTCCGCTGCACTGAATGAAGAAACAAAGCTGAGCTGGATCACTGGAGATATCTATTCTATTGTGATGTCATCAACCTGTCATATGTGTGATATGATGTCACAAATGGGCATGTTTCTAACATTTTGTATAGTGACTTAGCCGTAAAGTCCGCCCACGGTTTTCTCACATTTTTACTTTGTTTTTTATCGATACAAAGGGACAATGAAACAGACTGAGAATAAATAAATTAACATATTTTTTCTTTTGCTGTTATTTCCTTTAAGATTATTTGATGATATTTAAGTTTAACTAACACACAGAGAAGACATGGATCTCCTTCACAGGTGTTAGTTGAAACATCTATTGGGTGTTACTTTATATTAACATATATGTTTACAAAATAAATAAAACTAAAGTATGACTTTTTTCCTTCATAAACCATTGAATATTAAAACAAAAAATACACACTTTTCTGTAAAATATATGAAAGTCCTTAATCTTAGCAAGGACGCTAAGGACGTTTTTTTAAACACAATTTATTTTTATTTTTATTAAACCAAAGCATGGTTAGTGATTAAATAGGCTCAGAATATAAATTTGTCAAATTTCCATGTATGATGACTGAAATGGGCATGCCCCATATTTGACCCTGTAACTTTCCAGAACCCCAGAAAACAGCACATGTGGGTATTATTGTACTTGTGAGATGTTGCTGAACAGAACTATGGGTGTTTATTGCAGTTAAATGGATGATGATATGAACAGTGAAAGAGTAGTGTTTGTATGAAAAATTAGAATTTTTCTATGTTTAATGACAAAGTGGCTACAATGTTAAGGACTGAAATGGACAAGCAACATTTTTGGCTCTGTAAGTTCCAAAAAAAAAAAAAACATGAAACCTGTACATTGGGGCAATTGTTGAATTGTTGTACCTGTGAGGCATTACAGAATGCAAATTTATTTAAGTAAAATCAGAATAATGATATTCACAACAAAAATATCAAGTAAGGGATCTATATGGTGTTTTTAACTATACATGTTTGTGTTCCTGACCTTATAGTGCTCCTTTAATGTTAAAATGTTATATTAGGCCAAAATTCTTGTTTTGGTTTAGAAATTAGACAATTGCCTTAATACTTGGGGGGCTAACCCTCCCTTATATGAATAAGGGGGTCATATTGATTTCCATATGCCTTTTTTAGTTTTTATTATTATTATTGGTATTTATATAGCGCCAACTAATTCCGCAGTGCTTTACAATATTATGAAGGGGAGGGGGGGGGAGGGGGATTTACAATAAGTGGGACAATTACACAGTGACAGAGGAACAATATGTAGATGAGGACCCTGCTCAAACGAGCTTACAGTCTAGATGAGGTTGGGTACAAATACACAACAGGGCAGCAAGGGTGACAGCCAAAAAACAAGATGGAAAAGTAGTAGAGGTGGAGGTGAGACTGGAGTATGGCTCTTTAGGAGAGCAAGAGACAGATTTGGATAAGTATAGATAAGTTACTCTGGGAGTCCATAAGCATTCCTGAACAGATGTGTTTTGATGGACTTCTTAAACAATTGAAGACTAGGGGAGAGTCTGATGGGGGTAGGCAGGCTGTTCCAAAAGAAGAGAGCCGCCTTCGAGAAGTCCTGCAAGCATGAGTTAGCAGTAAGGGTGTGCGCAGCGGACAGGAGGTGGTCACCGGCAGAGTGGAGAGACCGAGCAGGGGCATATCTATGAATCAGGTAAGAGGGACTAGAGTTGGTTAGAGCTTTATAGGTAAGGGTTAGTATTTTGAATTGACACCCATAGGATACAGGAAGCCAGTGTTAGGATTGACAGAGGGGCGAGGTATGGGAGGAGCGACAGGTGAAAAAGATCAGCCTAGTGGCAGCATACATCACCGATTGTAGCGGGGGAGTTCGGCTTTTGGGGATACCAACTAGAAGAGAATTACAGTAATCCATGCAAGAGATTACCAAAGCATGAACAAGCTCCTGGCAGCATCTTGCATGAGAAAGGGGTGGATGTGGCCAATATTTTTAAGGTGGAATCGACAGGTTTTAGCAACATACTGGATATGTGGTGCAAAGGTGAGGCCAGGATCAAAGATAACACCAAGACAACGAACTTGCAAGAATGGACTGATGCAAGTACCATCAACTTGCAGGGAAAGCGAAGGAGGAGGATCAGCACTATGAGGGGGGAAATAAGAAGCTCAGTTTTAGAGAGATTGAGTTTCAGAAAGCGTGAGGCCATCCAATCTGAGATTGAAGAAAGGCAAGCAGTGACACGTTGTAGGGCCGCGGGGGAGAGATCAGTGGAGAAGAGAGATATCTGGGTGTCGTCGGCATGCAGATGGCAGTGGAATCTAAAGGAGATAATGAGTTTGCCAAGAAAGGCAGTATAAAGAGAGAACAGAAGAGGACCAAGAACAGATCCTTGGTTGACTCCAATTGAGACAAGGAGAGAGAAGAAGTGTCATTGCAAAAGGAGACACTGAACGAACGTTGAGAGATATAGGAGGAGAACCACGAGAGGACAGTGTCACAGAGACCGAGGAATTGAAGAGTTTGGAGAAGAAGGACATGATCAACACTGTCAAAGGCAGCAGAGAGGTCAAGAAGAATTAGTATGGAGTAGTGGCCCCTGGATTTGGCTGCGATTAGGTAATTTGTAACTTTAATAAGAGCAGTTTCAGTAGAGTGGAGGAGGCGAAAGCCAGACTGAAGAGGATCGAGGAGGGAGTTGGAATTTAGGAAATGAGTCATACCAGTAAAGACAAGTCTTTCTAGAAGTTTTGAGAAAAAAGGAAGCCGGGATATGGGAGGATAGTTGGAAGAGGAAGATGGGTCTAGGGATAGCTTTTTTAGGATGGGTACTGTGAAGGACTTTTATGCAATTGCCTATATGCTTCAGTTTAATCCTCTCCCTGCTATTTTAATGTCTATATTGTTCGGTTCCAAATGTTGAGAATGAATGTATTCGTGTACCGAACGGGGACCACACACCCTGGGTAGCAAGTAGCAATTAGAACACAGAGGAAACCGCAACTTAATTGCTACTAGGTGGCCGCCATTCGACATACGAACATGTGGCAAGAACAAAGGATGGCGGCTCTCTTCTTAAAACTCACGAATGCGTGCAGCGGGGCTTACGCATGAATTGCATGGAACTGTTTTCGGTACGGGAAACATGCGAACGCCCGGTCCCCCATGGAAGTCCTGGATGAATACGTTCCCCTCCACGAATCAAACTGGAGTTCGGTAGATAGTATCTACCGAATGAGGGGAACATTCACAGGTAACCAGCTGAACCATACGAACGGTAGTTTTCGTGTAGTTAGATGCGAACGGAGACCGGCTCTTGCTACTGATTCTATGGAACTGTAACTCGGATACCTCCACATGGCAAGTCGGTCAAACTTCCACACGATGCGACACGGAAACTACCGAACGGAAATTCGTGAGATTTGGATATGTGACTACCAGTATCCTCAGTTATCCAGGGATGTTAAAAGTATAATTGTATGTCTTATAGAAAGTATGTTTCTGAAATTGTTATAAATTGTAATGTTTCTGGCCAGCAGATAATTGAGCTTTATGTATTGTAGAAACTCAATTATCTAGCCTGGCCCAGAGGAGGAGTTTTGTGTTGCATAAATTGTGAGTTCTGTGTGCCAGTAAATCAGTCTTGTTCCAGCATTAAGCTTTGGCTCATGTGTGGATTATTCAGCGATTCCAGGGATATTTCTGCTTATGGAATATTGAGTGCTTTTCTTTTATGGGAAGAAGGGAATGCTTGACGGGGATATTTTCTACTACCGTCACAGGTACGACAGTAGCATGTTTAAGGGGAGCAGGGACAACACCAGATGAAAGAGAGCAGTTTAGGATGTGTGTTAAGGATGGTACAAAACAAGGGGAGAGAGATTTAATAAGGTGGGAAGGTACTGGATCAAGCGGACAGGTGGTGGGACGAGAGGAGAGGAGAAATGAAGCCACCTCCTGTTCTGTAGCTGGGGAGAAGGCCTGTAGAGTAGGGAAGGTACGGTCCAGGTGTTGTTGCGAGAGGGAGGAGCAAAGAGCGGTAAAGTAGCATGCAAGGCTATCTGTTGAAAGGTCAGTTTGAGGCGTGGCTTAAGGTGGGCGAAGGAGAGAGTTGAAGGTATTAAAGAGACGCCCGGGATTGCGTGAGCATGAACTAACAAGAGAAGAAAAGTAGGATTGTTTAGCAAGGGTGAGAGCTGTGCTATATGAACACAAAGTGAATTTATAATGGCGGAGGTCTGACAAGGTGGTGTGGTGGCTGGCTAGCAAGACCCAGTCAGAGGCCACATGATTAACCCTTGAGTTGCTGAGAATTTTTGTAACTATTTGCCCTGTTGTCACTAGTGCTGGCAAAGGGTAAATAGAAAAAAAATATATTCACAACTTTAAGTTGTTGGATTCGTTAAGGCAATTTATTGATCGATATGTGACCAATAAGTGGAATTAAATCATCTCAGCTGATATTTACAATGAAATGTATATGTATCAGTTAAGTCACATGGCTCAAACTTTCTACTCTACACTAGCCATTGGCTAGTGAAAATTCAGCCCTGACAAATAGAAATTTACCACTGATGGGTGTGCAATGTACTTTCCATGTGTGTAGTGGTAAATATCTTTTTAAGCCCTCCTAGTTGTGAAGGACTAAAAATTTTAGGCCCAAGCTTTAGATATTTGACTTCCGATAAGCCTTTAACAGCATTTATTTAATCTCTCCATAGTGATATATGACTTATCGGAAGATGATAAACTCCGGATAAGGACGGTCGGCTCTAATTTAATCGAAGTCTTGGTTATTTATCAATTCGGCAATTCTCTTTTTGCTAAATAAACCAAGAAATGTCCTTGTATCCCACTGCACAGATTTATAATTACTGCTCTAAAGAAACTGTAAACATAAGAATAAGACGTTATTTTAATTACAATATTTACTTTGCCGATGTGTGTGTGTTCATTTACAAACATTTGTAAGCATATATATATATATATAAAATTAACAGTGTAAGAAACATTGTCTATCACGTCAAATGCATTTATCTATCTACAGTGACTGAGTGCATCTTCCCAGAACTTATAACAATGTATAAATGTGTTCTCCCTGAATGATGGAAGTTTAGTCCAACATTTTGCCTTATCTTTATTAGATACATTAATAATACTTGACAGAAATCTTATTTTGCATAGCGTTCCCCACTGGATGTACGCAACAAGATCCCATTAGTTGTGATGTGCATCAAACAATTCCTAGACTACTTGGCTGTGAATCAAAAGGTGAGCACTCATGAGCATCAAAATCCAGGAGTATTTTATAGGTTACAAAAAGTCCAGGGGCTTTAGCCCAAAGGTAAATCTCATGGCTCTTTTCAGCATTTATTTGTTTCATTTTCAAAACTTGGACTCTTTATGTTAAATCATTACATAATTACACAATTTGTAATTACGAGATTGTGCAGATCAGTAAATGGGTCTTTGTACATCTGTCTATAGGATTGTTATTTTTCTCTCAATATTACAAACATTAATATTGAAATAATACCGCAGTTGCAGATTTTCAGGAAACTCAAGACTTTCAATTAAATGGTGGTAAAATAGGACCCAGGACCTTTCAGGAACCACTTATGGCTTTCACCCAGGTCATCCCACAAGCAACACCCCTGATTATAATAGTATTTTAGGCTAGTTCTGCTTTAACCACTTCTCCTCCTGAGGAGGCAGGATGTCAGTGCAGCAGGTAGATATATTTTATCATGATCGTCACTTCTTTGACTCTATTTGCTTATATTTATAGCACATGAAAAATACACCTGGTTATTAAAGTTTCTTCGAAATCGGTCATCTTGAAGGACTTTATGTAAAAAATGATGATTGGCATTAACTCAAGTTCATTTCCTTAAACAGAAACTGAATTTTATTTGATGCATGAAATCAGGTCCGGAGGAAACAGATAATTACCAGTTTATTTTCAAATTGATGATACCCAGCAAATTCTGACGTGAGTGATTTGTGCGATGTGCAATGGGAGCAGAAGTTGATGCGATGACTAATGACCGATCTGGAATTTGGGTTCCAATCACTACAGGTAGTAAACAACCATTTGTAGGCATGTGTGGAGATTTCCCACCATGGGGAAGGGTGTTCAGGGATCCAGAAGAAACACCAATGAGGCGAGCTGGTTTATTGTTAGTTGCACCTTCTGCAGCAAGAAGAAACATCTCAGAATAAAGGTAATGAAGCATTAACAAAGAAAAAAAAGTCAGGCTTTTTTATGTACTGCAATGTCCAAGAGGTTAACTAAGCACCACATAACATGAAATCCACAGTTACTAGTCACTCATAGGTTGCAATGACTTGGATATACTCTAGAGTTTAAATATGGGAACACTTAACCAATTTAACTAACCAAAATCTGGTTTGTCTTAAAGGGATTTTCTAACTCTTTTTATAAAATCTCTAAAATCTAGTTTACAGTGCCCCACTCAACATTATTCACTAAATCTTTATGAACGTGCACATAGAAGACAAACGTACCTGGAATCCAGTGCCGGGTTAAGCGTTTCTCGCTGGATTCCATGCCTTTGTCCAATGTCATTGGTGCTCCCTCATGGTCTAATAAAATGCAAAATTTAACCGATTCACTGGCTCAGAGTGCATATAATCCCTCTGAGCCAGCAAAGGGAGGGAGAAAGTGCAGATGGACAGAGAGAGGGTATCTGAGATAAAAAAAGGAATGTTAAAGGGACACTATAGTCACCAGAACAACTACAGCTTAATGTAGTTGTACTGGTGAGTATAATCATTGCCTTCAGACATCTTAATGCAAACACTGCCTTTTCATAGAAAAGGCAGTGTTTACATTGCCCCTACGGACACCTCCATGTGGCCACTCCTCAGATGCGTCTCAATGAACTGCATGGGGACGCTGACATTTCCTCATAGAGATGCACTGATTTAATGCATCTCTATGAGGAGGTGCTGATTGGCCAAAACGGTGTTTGGCCCTGCCCTTGCCGATTTTAGCCAATCCAATGCATTCTCCATGGGAAAGCATTGGCTTGGCAAAAAAAAAGGCAATTCTTATGATGTCACCAGGGGGCGGGCCCTGTGCCGGCTGACCCGTGCGGCGCTAGAAATAAGGTGAGTTTTAATTGCTTTTAAGGGGGCAAACCATCTAAATGGTGGGTTTAGCACTATAGGGTCAGGAATACATGGTTGTGTTCCTGACCCTATAGTGTTCTTTTAAAGGTATACGGAGGCAGGTATGGCGGGGAGGGAGAGGGCTTAAATTAAAGAAGGGAGGAAGGGAGTGTAGATTTGCTGCCTACAATAGACAAGCTAATTTAATGCCTGCAAGAAAGAAACTAATGTCATGCGCAGAAGACAGATGTAATTTTTGCACAGACCGGAACAGAGTTCTGGGCTTCCTAGATTACGTGTGGGATACAACTAGCCCCCATCAAAAAAGTGCAAATATCTTTGGATGTGCATCTTTCCAAGCAGAAATGCTGCACATAGAGATTCCTAACACCCATGAACACTTCACATGTGAACACCACACATTACAGTGTGTTATAATGGTGCCAGACTTTTTAATGCAATCTCTGTAATGTTGACAGGTATTCTAGCACTCCTATCCATGTCAAGTATTCTGAACTCCTACAATAGAGGCCATCTAAGAGAGAAAAAGGGATACGTGACTTATGTTATACCACGAAGCAGAGATAGCTTGACCATATTATATCCAGGTTTTATCTGTTGTTAATGTTCCACCAACATCTTATCTTTGTTTTACTAGACAATTCAATTATTTTATTATATGTGATTGATTGTGGGGGTGGAGAATTCACCTTTCAATTTCCATTATATATTGGCATGGCCCTTTTTACATCTGCTTGCTGCTATACCACCAATTAGAAAGGGATAGCGTTTCCACTGCAGCACACTGTTCTGGCAATACAATGCACATGGACACCCACAAATGTATAATAGGTAAAAAAAAAAAACTAAAAAAAACCAACATTTTTTTAAATAAAATATTGCCTCTCCTATCTTTGGAATTATCAAGTATTAGAATATACAGAGCAGAACATTTTCTGTCGGTTTGTGGTTTTGCAGGTCGGATTTGGGTGAGTGACTTTAAAATGAAGAACAGCTTAGCAACTGCCATCAGTTTAACTTACAATGTAAAGTGTAAAAATATATCAACTAATTGTATTTTATTCTATAAAGCAGCTTTCACAGCTATACTTGTTCTCGCAGTCCTCTACTTGCAGTGATTCTTACTTACATCATACTATTATTATATACCTAATCTCAAGTTACACTGTGCCCAACTATGACTCACTAATGATAGTAACTCCACAACTAGATCTAATGACACGTAATGGAGTTTATTCAATTTAAAAAGTGTAAGCTGGCAAAGTTTCAACCCAAGATTGGCAAAGGCCCATAGCTGGATTGAAATGTTGCCAAATCAGTCATACGAGATTGAATAAACTAAATTATTTGTCATAACATGATGAAAAGGAGTGATTATTTTCCTTAACCCCTTCAGGACAGAGTCAATAGTACACGTTCTGATCAAAACAAAATATAAACAAAAAAATGGAATTTGCGCTATGTCTGTTCAACAGTAATTCACCTCTTTCATATTATATGTACCCACACTTATTATATATCATTTTGTTCAGGAGAAACGGGGCTTTCATTTCATATCAAATATTTATATATGAAACATAATTTATCATGAATAAAATAAAAAAACTGAGAAATGTAAAAAAATTTTTACAATTTGTAGTTCCGCCTCACATTTTAGCTGTAAATGTCATAATACTGTTAGCTTTTACTGCAAAAAAAGCACATATTTGGATTCAGCAAAGTCTCACGAGTACAACAGTAGCCCCCATTAACAGTTTTTATGGTGTTTTGGAAAGTTAAAGGGTCAAATGTAGCACATATCCATTTTTCATTTTTTTCACATTGACATTTGCCAGATTAGTAATGTTACCTTTGAGACCATGTGGTAGCCCAGGAATGAGATTTACCCCCATGATGGCATACCATTTGTCTATCATTCACATTAGCAATGTCAATGTAATCAAAATTTGAAGATCCTGACTGTGATGGTAGTCACCATCCTTGGGAACATAAGATGGACACTTTAATAAGGTCTCTGGATGATTCCTATGTCACCCTGTGTCCATTGTGGGTGCAGGGTGTGTGTGTAATGTGGTTCTTTGGGGTTAAATGTTAGTGTGGTCTCCTGTTCTCATTGCTAATTTTTGCAATCAACTAGATGGATTTGGCCACGGAGCCTGTACGCTGTTTGTTGCAAGGATCAAGCAACAGCTATATGCACTACCTGAATAACAAGGCATGCTTATTTGCATATTCAGGTAGGTTTGCATATTGCCAATTCTGCCGGCAGGAGAGATATTTTGTGTTTAATATTGTTTTCCCTACCCCTTTATAAATATGTTATTATAATGCTCTGTATGTTTTGTGACATGTTTTGGTTATTTTTATTTTATTTAGTTTGTCACAGCAATCTTTATGTAATATTCATATGGACTAGTCCCGAGTAAAAATAAAGGTTTGCATGTTAGTTCCTTTTGTAACTGTGTCCTGTGTAGATTTTAAGGGATTCCAGTAACAGAGTCTTTGGACGTGTTGGTTGGCTGCACAATCCCTATAGCCCTTGGATAAATCTAGATAGCTAGGTGTAAGGAATAGGCAAAGACATTGATCTGAAAACAGTAAGGTTAGTTGTTAGTGTTGGACTTATCAAAGAGGTATGCCTTGATTTTGACAGGTGAGCTTATACTTCATAGCCATAAAGTGGTACTTAAAAACTTGCAGGGTTATTTAGACAAATGGATATCATAAACTGCATGGATATATCATAAATCATGATGAAATCCAAACAACCCTTTTGCAAATGAACAGGCAATAAGCGCATAAACTATGAAAAATACCATGAACTTACTCTGGTCACTCTTGTTTTTGGCACTGTTGAATCGTATTTGGCTCACACCTTTTGGTGGTTTGGCAAATGAAAGTGGCTCATTGGCAGCAGGTGCTGGCCAAACATTTTGAGCTCCTTTCCAGATAATGGCTTTCTGGGGACCATATTTCCTCACTGCATACTGTGCTGAAGAAGGTGCACCTCCTCCTGACCCAGGAAAGCTAGGACGATATGCTTTATTTCCATAAGGTATGTGATTAGATATGGCATCAGTAGCAGCTTGCGCCCCTGTCTCTGCAACTCTCTCTCCCATGAAGGTCATGGGCACAGAGCTCATATCTTCAGAGTCCTGGCACAAGAATGTCGACTGAAAGACAAAAGTAATAAGTTAAACAAATAAACAAACATCAAACATTAACCCCATCAGGACCAGGCTGTTTTGGCCATGTTGTACGTTAAGGACCATGGCTATTTTAACACTTTTGTGGTGTTTGTGTTTAGCTGTAATTTTCCTCTCTCTCATTTACTGTTCCCATACAAGTTATATATAGTTTTTTTTTCAGGACAAGAAGGGCTTTCTTTACATACCATTATTTGTATCATGTCATATAATTTACTTTAAAAAAAAAACTACGGTGAAAAATTTTAAAAAAATTACAATTTGTGTTTTACTGTCTCACTTTGTCTGATATCATCAAAGTTTATTGTATGTGCAGAAGCCCTATAAAGGGTTAAATGTTAAAGGGTTTATAAAATACCCCTTCCTGTCTCATTGGAGACTCATGGCTGATATCGGCATATCTAATGGCTAGTGTAGGAACTCACCTATTGAGGCTTGCCTTGACGTGGCAGGTGAGCTTACATATTCAAATGGCCATTGGAATAAAACCAAAGAGCCTCCATTTCTGTTTAAACGCACATGGGGATTTAGGCCAGAGCGCAGGTAACGTTCTCTTTGTTTTTACTATGTATTTTAAGCTGTTGGATACTAAGCCACTGCTGCTGTAAGCGCGGTGCTTTATCTTTGTGTTTGTATATGTGTTTTACTTTTACTTATCTACAAAAGCTAATGAAAAAAAAAAGCTAAATATTCAAAATGTTGTCCTGAGTTTAAAAACACCCATTGTTTACATGCCTTTTAGCTTTTTTTTGCAAGTTATAGGGCTATAAGTACAAATAGGAAATTGCTGTTTCAAAATATATATTTTTTTAAATGTATCAATAGTGACATTGTAACACTGTTATCTGTCATAAATCTCTGAATCACACCCCACATGTACATATTTTTTTTAAAGTAGACAACCCAGGGTATTCATTTAAAGATATTTTGACACTTTCTATGCAGCCATTTTACCACCAATCTTTGCCAAACATTGCATAGGTAATTTCTTTGTTTGATTTTTTTCACATACATTGCAATTCAGCTATAAATTCACAGATTGGAAGGCATGGCCTGAAGTTGTGGGAGGGGCTATAGACATATAAAAGGGACTCCCCCCTTTCCCTACTTACCTTTGTTGGTCAGATGAATAGCCCCACCCTCCACTCCCATTGTTCATATTTCCTCTATGTAAGCCCACTTTTTACCGGCCTACAGCATGCGTCGGTTTCGGCACACCTCAACCGATTATTCCTAAAGCTACATCTCTACAACCCATCTTATTCTATATCATATGAAAATGCCCCGAACAAAAATCCTATTATGTGTTGCTGCTACAAAACACGCTAATATGTGTTCAGCAACATCTCCTGAGTACAGTGACCATCCATGCATAGGTTTGTCGGGTTGTTTGGGGGCTAAAAAGCCACATATGGCCACACTTGGAATTTTGACATGTAGTCAACCTGCGCCCATGTGCTATTTGGGACATTTTTGAAGCTGGACAATGTATTTTAACCCCATCAAACCATATATTTTTTAAAAAGTAGACAACCCAGGGTATTTTAAATGGTAGCATTTTAACACTTTTCATGCATTAATTCTACCACCAGCCTTTGTTAAACTTTAGGCTAGCATTTTTTTGTGTTTTTTTCACACACATTGTGCTTTAGGCATGAATTAACAATGTGTTCAGCAACATTTCCCGAGTACAGTGATACCACCCATGCATAGGTTTGATGGGTTGTTTGGGGGCTAAAAGGCCACGATAGAGACTTGTGCATGTCAGTTTTTCAACTTGATATATAGGTATGTGTGGCGGAACCAGCCTCGCCACTGGGCATTGGAGAAGAGTGATTGCCAGCCTCCTGCCATGTGACTATGGCCCCTGGGAGACTTTGCCCTGTGTAAGCATTATTTGGGCTTTTAAGATTTTGAAACACTTTTTCTGTCCCTTTGAATACATGAGAAGGTGTGCCCCTCCCCCGTTTACTGTCTATTGTTCTCCAGCAGGGCGTTGTCCCAGGGACACTGCCAGACCAGTTGGAACTTGTTGCTAAACTCTAACCCCATAGCGATTTGACTGTTTGTGGGATCTGAGCGCTGTTCGGATATAGTGAGCGCTCAGATCCAAGCTATCTAGGGATAGGTTGAATGTGGGAATTATGTATTTTTTTGTGTTTTTGCTGTTGTTGTAAATGGAGATATTTTCTGTATGCTGGAGATAGTTGGATTACCACACCCAAGCCATGCTTGCAGTCGGTAAAAAGGTCTTCCATCTATCTTTTGAACCACTGGACTAATTTGTATGATTTTGACACATGTTTGTATTTGGAGTATGCTGATTCTGAAAATGTAAGTTTATGTGAATATGATGTATACTTTTAAAGTTATGAATATTGTGCAAAACTGTATTTTCCTGCCTGTGATAATTATGTTAGCCCATTGTGTTCAGTAATTGTATCACAGGCAGAGGGGAGGATTTCTGCTGGTATGAATGGGAGTGTTTGGCTGTGTTGTAATGTATTGATTGGTTTGTTCTTCAAAACCCTGTGGGCAGTTCTATGTTTGTAAAATGGGCATAAAAGCAGAGTGTTTGATTAAAAGCTTCAGTTCTACTTCACCCTCAATTTGGAGTGCCCTCTCTTATTGGGGGAATCTGCTACAAGGAATTGCTATGCTAGTCATACTCCCTTGCTATTTCACTACTAAGCTCTAGTAAGAGCTTGTTCCTGTCTTGCTCTCTGAGTCTTCGGTGGTTATGGTGTCTGCTGGAGTGCTGGAAACCCTCAGGAAGCGCCAGGAGCATCCTTCAACGGAGCTACCCAGTCGGGGTGGCAGGTGATCCGTTACAGTATGCTTGGCCTGTCTTCAGTTTGGAGTATTTTTTGCATCCCCCAGTTAATGTTACCATCATGAAAGTATATATTTTTATAAAGTAGACATGCCAAGGTATTGTATATGGGGTGTTTTAACTCCCTTCCCCCAACCATTGTGCTAAGAAAATTTCAGAGAAAGTGCATGGAGGTAATTTTTGAATTCTGCTTTTTGGTTATATGTTACTGCCAGAAAACACCCCAGTTTGTTTTCTACAAAGTCTTCTGAGTACACCTATGCCCCCCATGCAGTGGCGTACATACCAGGGTCGCAGGGGTCGCGGCTGCGACCGGGCCCGGCCCACCAGGGGGCCCGGCCGCCCCTGCGACCCGGTATGTACCCACAGGGCCAGCCTCTTCTCCTGGGGGGCAAACTGTAAACGTGCAGCAATGTTTTGTTTGGACAGCAGTGGCTTCCTCTGTGGTATCCTCCCATGAAATCCATTCTTGTTAAGTGTTTTACATATTGTAGATTCACGAACAGGGATGTTAGCATTTGCCAGTGACTTTTGTAAGTCTTTAGCTGACACTCTAGGATTCTTATTCACCTCATTGAGCAGTCTGCGCTGTGCTCTTGCAGTCATCTTTACAGGACGGCCACTCCTAGGGAGAGTAGCAGCAGTGCTGAACTTTCTCCATTTATAGACAATTTGTCTTACCGTGGACTGATGAACAGCAAGGCATTTGGAGATACTTTTATAACCCTTTCCAGCTTTATGCAAGTCAACAATTCTTAATCGTAGGTCTTCTGAGAGCTCTTTTGTGCGAGGCATCATTCACATCAGGCAATGCTTCATGTGAAAAGCAAACCCCGAACTGGTGTGTGTTTTTTATAGAGCAGGGCAGCTGTAACCAACACCTCCAATCTCATCTCATTGATTGGACTTCAGTTGGCTGACATCTCACTCCAATTAGCTCTTGGAGATATCATTAGTCTAGGAGTTCACATACTTTTTCCACCTGCACTGTGAATGTTTACATGGTGTGTTCAATAAAAACATGGTAACATTTCATTCTTTGTGTGTTTAAGCAGACTGTGATTGTCTATTGTTGTGACTTAGATGATGATCAGATCACATTTTATGACCAATTTGTGCAGAAATCCATATCATTCCAAAGGGTTCACATACTTTTTCTTGCAACTGTATTTAAGTTTAACTAACACACAGAGAAAACACGGATCTCCTTCATAGGTGTTAGTTGAAACATCTATTGGGTGTTACTTTATATTCACATATATGTTTACAAAAAAACAAAAACTAAAGAATGACTTTTTTCCTTCATAAGCCATTGAAAAATAAAACAAAAATACACACTTTTCTGTAAAATAAATGAAAGTCCTAAATCTTAGCAAGGACGCTAAGGACGTTTTTTTTTAAACACAATTCATTTTTTTAATTTTTTTTTAAACCAAAGCATGGTTAGGGATTAAATAGGCTCAGAATATAAATTTGTCAAATTTCCATGTATGATGACTGAAATGGGCATGCCCCATATTTGACCCTGTAACTTTCCAGAACCCCAGAAAACAGCACATGTGGGTATTATTGTACTTGTGAGATGTTGCTGAACAGAACTATGGGTGTTTATTGCAGTTAGATGGATGATGATATGAACAGTGAAAGAGTAGTGTTTGTACGAAAAATTAGAATTTTTTTATGTTTAATGACAAAGTGGCTACAATGTTAAGGATTGAAATGGACAAGCAACATTTTTGGCTCTGTAAGTTCCAAAAACAAACAAACATAAAACCTGTACATTGGGGCAATTGTTGAATTGTTGTACCTGTGAGGCATTACAGAATACAAATTTATTTTAGTAAAATCAGAATAATGATATTCACAACAAAAATATCAAGTAAGGGATCTATATGGTGTTTTTAACTATACATGTTTGGGTTCCTGACCTTATAGTGCTCCTTTAATGTTAAAAGGTTATATTAGGCCAAAATTCTTGTTTTGGTTCAGAAATTAGACAATTGCCTTAATACTTGGGGGCTAACCCTCCCTTATATGAATAAGGGGGTCATATTGATTCCCATTTGCCTTTTTTTGTTTTTACTTTTATTATTGGTTTTTTTATAGCGCCAACTAATTCCGCAGCGCTTTACAATATTATGAAGGGGGGTGGGGAGGATTTACAATAAGTGGGACAATTACACAGTGACAGAGGAACAATATGTAGATGAGGACCCTGCTCAAACGAGCTTACAGTCTAGATGAGGTTGGGTACAAATACACAACAGGGCAGCAAGGGTGACAGCCAAAAAACAAGATGGAAAAGTAGCAGAGGTGGAGGTGAGACTGGAGTATGGCTCTTTAGGAGAGCAAGAGACAGATTTGGATAAGTATAGATAAGTTACTCTGGGAGTCCATAAGCATTTCTGAACAGATGTGTTTTGATGGACTTCTTAAACAATTGAAGACTAGGGGAGAGTCTAATGGGGGTAGGCAGGCTGTTCCAAAGGAAGAGAGCCGCCTTCGAGAAGTCCTGCAAGCGTGAGTTAGTAGTAAGGGTGTGCGCAGCGGACAGGAGGTGGTCACCGGCAGAGTGGAGAGACCGAGAAGGGGCATAGCTATGAATCAGGTAAGAGGGACTAGAGTTGGTTAGAGCTTTATAGGTAAGGGTTAGTATTTTGAATTTTATTAATGACACGGAGGCTCCTGTTATGCTATCTCTTTCTTACTTTATTCCTCAGCAGCAAAGAGAAAAAATAACTGAAAGAGAACATATGTATAATATGAATAATATATAATAGATACAACCAACTCTGCCTAGTAACAGGGTAGCCAATCAGCTTATAGGAACAGTCCATAAATGCCTTGCTGTATACTTCCACTTCCTCTTTCTTTGCTGCTGTCCTCAGACCAGCTAAGTATAATTTTACCTCCTTATGTTGCTCTGTTATTTTGATATTGCTGACTATTGTGATTTTGATTTTCATTGCTTTCTGCAAAATTGTTTATTAATTTATTTGTTTTCTGTATTTGTTTTTTTGCTCCTTTTAAGTTTTTTTCCTGTCTGTGTCTCTCTCCCCCTTTTCTGGTGACCGGGTTCCATGCCTGTGCTGGAAATTTTACGGACACAGGCCGGCAGGGCCGGACTGGGAAAAAAATTAGAACAGTAAAAAAGGAAAAAATTCCTTAAAGAATGTAGCGCTTATACAGTAAAAAATAATATTATCACCTTTTGGTAATTGGACAAAAAATATTTTTTTCCCCTTTATCCAGGTGTCCAATAAATGGTTTATCTACAAAAGATAATCATACATAGTGCAGATGGTATATAACTGTACATTCATATATCTATATATGGTATTATTCACTCACAAACAGAGAGCTGTGGACCCAGCTCTAGTTGAAATCACTCTCGGGTCCGTATAGGTGACCCACCCCTGTTTAGGATGTACGTCTTGTCCTACAGGGAAATAAATGGACCGGAGATAGCGTAGCACAGTCTATAATAGTTAAAATAAAGATATTGATCCCAAGTGGGTACTTACAGACCAAGAGTCTAAATAGACTCAATTCTTGAGCAATGTGCAGATTAAGGGACTGCACTCCCAGATGTAAATGGATGGATGGAGAACCAAATAAAAAAGAATAAGTGAATTTATTAACACAGTATATAAAATAAATACAAATAAAATCGGATCAATGTCCAAATAAAAAGCCGGGACGCGTTTCACCACACAAGCGTAGCTTCCTCAACCGGATCGATATGCTTCAGAATTTAGACTCTTGGTCTGTAAGTACCCACTTGGGATCAATATCTTTATTTTAACTATTATAGATTGTGCTACGCTATCTCCGGTCCATTTATTTCCCTGTAGGACAAGACGTACATCCTAAACAGGGGTGGGTCGCCTATACGGACCCGAGAGTGATTTCAACTAGAACTGGGTCCACAGCTCTCTGTTTGTGAGTGAATAATACCATATATAGATATATGAATGTACAGTTATATACCATCTGCACTATGTATGATTATCTTTTGTAGATAAACCATTTATTGGACACCTGGATAAAGGGGAAAAAAATATTTTTCGTCCAATTACCAAAAGGTGATAATATTATTTTTTACTGTATAAGCGCTACATTCTTTAAGGAATTTTTTCCTTTTTTACTGTTTGAATTTATTGGTGACATTGAGGGAGTCATGAGAATGTTTAGCAGCTAAATTTATCTATTACCATTGGATATATGTCTTTCTATTGGGAACAATAAGCGCTGAGTCCTTAACTCTTTCTTTTCTTGGAAAAAAAATTAGGCCTGTGCATTTTTCAATCGGAGCAGCCCCCTAAGAAGGGGGCGGGGCCAGAGAGTGTGTGTTTTGTCATCACTAATGACAAGCACGCCCCTCTCAAAGTGAGCATGTTGGTTCAATGCGCAGAGCCCCGCTGAAGAGCTCTGGCATTAGAAAAAGGCCATGAATTTGTTCTGCGCAGCACAATCAAATTTAATAACATGCTTGCACTGTGTTTGCTTTTAAATTGTCTCTGGTGTCTCCACAAGTGGGATACCAGAGGACAAAAGGGCCAGGAAAGTACATGGTGCATATGTTTGGAGCCTGCTTGTGGGATTGCGTGTGTGTAGAGTGTGGTGTGGTATTGTGTAAATAGGTCAATTTCATTTGTGTTTGTGGTGTAATATAAAAGATATATTGACACTCAATGTATAAATGCCAAAAAAAGATCCACACACCACTCTCTTAGTCCCAAATAGTGAGTATATACAATACTTATAAATGAAAAGATGTACGCTGATGGTATTCCATGTACTGGAACCCTAGAATAACACAAAGCAGTACATAGCGTAGACTGTATATAATAATGATAATGTAGTAAAGAATAAATGAATCCACTGACGAATTCCAGAGCCGTACCAGGCTCTGTGTAAAGTGACCCAGGGTGCCTATGCAGGCTAGATATGGAATCTTCACAAAATCCCTCAGAGGTAGGAGAAGCAGCAGAGTAATGTCAAAATAAATAAATTCAAAATAAATTTATTTGTAATAAAAATATGTAAAAACAACTACATAGGTTGTATAAAAAGGTAATATAGTATGCAAACGCGTTTCAACTCAAACTGAGTCTTCTTCAGTGCATAAACAGTTCGTCTAGCTGATTCTCTTTAAAAATGCCGCTTATCCGGCTGCCGGTCACGTGGGCGGAAGTTCGGCTTGCCGGCGTCTGACGTCACTTCCGGTTTTTCGGCACTCATACTATCGGCTTCACTGTGTGCAGATCATTTGCCCAGTTGAAGCATCAGCTGCCATTGTATGTATGGGAAGCTCTAAGGAATTTACAGATAACAAATATATATAGATGTACAACATAGACAAATGCATACAGAAACTATGCAATAAAATTCACAAAGCCTTAGAGAACGGAAGTTACATATATTGTGTAATATAGTGTGACAAAAAGGATTATCACTGTAGCCCATATATAAAGATTGGTAGTTGTGAATGTGCAGGCACAACTAAAAAGGAATAAATAAGTATGAAAAATAGCAAAATGAAAAAAATTATATATAAATATATAAAAAAGAAAAAAAATTATATATAAATATATAAAAAATATAAAAAAATATAAAAAATATATATACTGAGAAAATTTTTTTTTTTAAAATGAATCAAAATTAAAAATAAAATAAATAAAAATTGTCAAATTAAAAAAAATAAAAATAAAAATAAATCAAAATTAAAAATAAAATGGAAATAAAAATAAATATAAATAAAAATAAAAATAAAAATTCACTGAAGAAGACTCAGTTTGAGTTGAAACGCGTTTGCATACTATATTACCTTTTTATACAACCTATGTAGTTGTTTTTACATATTTTTATTACAAATAAAATTATTTTGAATTTATTTATTTTGACATTACTCTGCTGCTTCTCCTACCTCTGAGGGATTTTGTGAAGATTCCATATCTAGCCTGCATAGGCACCCTGGGTCACTTTACACAGAGCCTGGTACGGCTCTGGAATTCGTGAGTGGATTCATTTATTCTTTACTACATTATCATTATTATATACAGTCTACGCTATGTACTGCTTTGTGTTATTCTAGGGTTCCAGTACATGGAATACCATCAGCGTACATCTTTTCATTTATAAGTATTGTATATACTCACTATTTGGGACTAAGAGAGTGGTGTGTGGATCTTTTTTTGGCATTTATACATTGAGTGTCAATATATCTTTTATCTTACATTGTGTACTTAAGGTGTTGGGGAACACTTTTTATCCCACCACTACTTGTGTGTTCCTTTCATTGTGTAAGCGCCATTCACTTTTCTATTTTTATTGCTTGTGGTGTAATATGTGTGGCTAGGGGCTGTAAAGAGTGTGTGTATAGGGGGCATAGTTTTATAGGGGATGCAGCGAGTGTGTGCATACTGGCTGAAGTGTGTGTGTATAGGTGACGTAGTGTGTGTAGGGGTTGCAGAGAGGGTGTGTTTAGAGAATGTTGTATGTGTTTGCTGACAAGGAATGTAGTGTGTGTGTGTAGGAGATCTACTGTGTAAAGGACCCAGTGTGTGTGTGTGTGTGTGTAGAGGATTAAGAGTGCATATAGGGTAAGGGATCTAGTGTGTATCTGGAGCGTAATGTGTGTAGTGGTGCAGTGTGAGGGGTGCTGTAGTGTGTGTGTGTGTGTGTGTGTGTATGTATATATATATATATATTTGGACTTATTGTATGTGTGAGGGGCGCAGTGTGTGTATGTAAGAGGGGTGCTGTGTGTGAGGGTGTTTTTATCTGCTGTCACATTCTAGGTTTCTAATTTTCTTTGTCTGTTAACTCACTGTGTGTGTCTGGGGGCGCTGTGTGTGTCTGGGGGCGCTGTGTGTGTCTGGGTGCTGTGTGTGTCTGGGGGTGCTGTGTGTGTCTGGGTGCTGTGTGTGTCTGGGGGGTGCTGTGTGTGTCTGGGGGATGCTGTGTCTGGGTGCTGTGTGTGTGAGTGAATGTATTTTTTATTTAAATTTAAATATTTTTTTTTATTAATAATAAAAAAAAATGATATCCCCCTCCCCTCCCTTCTTACCTTTATCCTGTGAGGGAGGAGGGGGGAGGAGATCCATTCTGCTTGGGTGGGGTGCCATGCTGCCTTCCCTGGTGGTCCAGTGGTGAGAGTGAACTCTAACCTGCGGGTTAGAGTTCACTCTCGCGAGATCTGAGCGTTGCCGTGGTAACCGCGGCAGCGCTCAGAATCCCGCGAGAGGACCCAGCGGAGCTGCTGGCTAGAGCTCCACCGGTCCTCTCTCCTGCCTCCCTCCCTCACTCCCCAGCCTGCGGCCCCATCTCCATGCCTCTGGGCTGGTGAGGGAGATCTTTGATCTCCCCACCGGCCCATGGAGGCACACAGCGGGGCCGGTGCTCGGATAGCGCTGGCCCTGCAGGGGCTGGCAGGAGAGATCCCCTGCTGGCCTCGGCCCCACGGCCATCGCGGCCCACCGGGCATTTGCCCGGTATGTCCGATGGCCAGTCTGGGCCTGCAGGCTGGGACCCACAACTACCAGGGGACACGTCTGCTGGAGCATCTCCGCTCCCTGTTTTACCCCTCCTGTTACCTCCATGACGATCAGTCTCCCTCTACGGCACGGCTCCTCATGCCTATTGTCAGTGGGTTACTCAACCCCCTTTGTTATGCCTTTGTGTCAGTTTAGGTTAGTAGTAGGTCAAGTTTCTCCTTACTCATTGTATTCTGGGCACATATAGACACTGTCTCTCTGCACTTCACCCACTTTGCCATATATTGGTATATACTGTGGGATATTCCCCACTGTCTCAGTGATGCAGGCTAGAGCTGATGGGGCTGACAGCCCCAACTTCTCCATTATGGACTGTATGCACACCCCGACCACCGAGGAGACCGGCCTTACACCCTCTCAGGAATTCCAAGACCTAATTGATTCTACCATGCAGAGAGCCCTGGCCTCGGCCATGGGAGCAGTATCTTCATCCCTATCCCATACTATACAACAGGCGTTAGTACAGCTTCTGGCCCCTGCTCTAATGCCCACCCCCCACCCTACGCAACATTCTCAAGCGAGTCGCAAGGCGCATGCCAAGACTAAGCACGTCTCCTGTTATAATTGTGGCACATTGTTGAAAAGAAATACAGGTGCTTTATAGTAGTAAAATATATAAAGATGATTATATAAACAGTGAAAGTGCAGTTTGTGTATAAAAAAAACCATAAACAAATATGAACACTCTATCTGGCCAAGTTTTGTGCCTACAAAAACAAAAAACACCTAGACATGCCCCATTTGGAACACACCATGTTATCTACTTTTGCAAATGATATGCCATCATGGAGGTAATTTTCATTCCTGGAATGCCATACTGCCTCAAAGGCGACATAGGACCAAAAATCAATTTGTCAAACTTCCATGTATAAAAGCCAAAATGGATAAACCATATACCTGGCCATATAACTTAAAACACAAATCATGCACTGTGTACATGGAGGGAGGAGGGGTATTGTTGTGATTGTGGGATGACATTACTGAGCAAAAATATGCATGTTTTATTGCAGCAAATATATAGGGATGATATAAATGGTGAAAGTGCAGAATCCGTGTAAAAAACACACACACAAAACAAATTGGCCATGTTTTTGGCTACACAAAATGACTGGACTTACCTCATTTGGAATACCAAGGGTTGTCTACTTTTAAAAATGGTATGCCATCATGGTGGTAGTTTTCTATCCGGGACTAGCAGTTACTTTACCCTTCAAAGCAGAATGCGCTATTTTGTTTTTTCACCCCTCTGAGTTAATGATTTCCCAAACCAAACTGATCAATATTATCTTTATAGTTATGATAAAGCTTGTAGTGAAAAACTAGAAATAAGTAGTTATCTCTTAATCAGTTCACCAGTTTACAGAGGTAGAAAAGTGGATCGCAAAAAACAAACTCTTCCTAAACACTGACAAAACTGTCACAATGATCTTTGGAACAATACATAAATTACACAAATTACACAATTCCCACCTATCCGTCAAAACAAAATCAAATAGTACACTGACCGCAGTCTACTCTTTCAAATACTTGGGTATGATGTTAGACCCCAATCTATCTTTTGGCCTCCACATAGAAAAACTTGCGTCTAAACTTTATCCAAAACTTTATCCAAAACTAGGTGCCCTGTTCAGAAACAAATCCTGCCTAAGCCCTACAGTAAAGGAAAAGATTGTACAGCAAATGCTGATGCCAATCATTGATTATGGGGATGTAGTATATGCATCTGCACCACAATCCCACATTAATAAACTCAACACATTGTATAATTCGTTCTGCAGATTTGTGCTACAATGTAATTACATGACCCACCATTGTGACATGCTAAAAGAACTAAACTGGTTGTCGCTGGAATACTTCATCTTTCCAGCCTTCTGTTTAACCCCTTAAGGACACAGCTTCAGAAGCTTGACTTACGCTTAATGACACAAGCAATTTTTGCATTTTCTTGCTGTTTGCGTTCAACTGCAATTTGCATCTCTCTCATTTATTGCACCGACACATATTATATACTGTTTTTTAAAGGACAGAAAGGGCTTTAATTTGATATAACATATATATATATATATATAATGCTTACTTATTATAAAAAAAATACAGAAAAATGCAAAAAAAATGAAAAATATTGTTTTTTTTACAGTTTTTGCAATAATAATGTGTGCATAATTAGTGCAGGTTAAGGAAAGTAATTAAAAATAAATTTATTTATTTGTTCTGATTTACAGAATATATAATGTGTCTGGGATTTTAAGTTTTTTTTGGTAGTTACAGGTCACAAAGCACAAGGAGTAAAATAAACTTTTAATGTGGAGCGATTTTAGAATTTGGTATGTTTGTCTTGTAAGCTTAATAGCCATAAAAGAAAACAAAATTGCCACACAAAAGTATATATTTATATAAAGTAGACATCACGGGCTATTTTCCTAAGGTTGTTTTGACACTTTCTACGTAGCCATTTCACCGCCAACCTCTGCTAAATATTGGAGTAAAACTGTGTTCTTTTTGGTTTTTGGCACACAAACTTATAACAGAGAAATTCTCGTGTATATTTTGTAAAGTTGGTGTGTGCTATTCCTGTACAAAGTTTTATTTTGTGTTCAGTTACATCTGCTGAGTAAAATGACACCCCCATTGTATGTCTTTTGCACTATTTCGTGAAGTTACAGTGCCATACAGGATACCTGTCCTTTTCAGTATTCACAGTAGAATTTTGAGAGATGAATTTAATGAGCCTTAGCTTCCATTTGGGGTATTATAACAGTTTGACTGTTCAAAAACCCCCACAAAGGCCTACCATTTGTAAAAGTAGACACTCCAGGGTATCTTATAAGGTGCATATTGTGCCTTAACATGCCCCCATTTCTTCACCAATATATGCCAAAGTATGTGGTAAAAAATAATTTTGTGCATTTTTTACATACGGATTGCATTTTTGCTGGGCGTTTTGTATATTTCATATGTGCCACTAAGTTCAAACCCCCCAAATTATGCTCAGCTAAGTCTTCTGAGTAAAATGACACCCCATATGAATGTCTTTGGCACTATTTCGTGAAGCTACAGTGCCATATAGGAGACCTGTCCTTTACAGTATTCACAGTAGAATTTTGAGAGATGGATTTAATGAGCCTTAGCTTCCATTTGGGGTATTATAACAGTTTGACTGTTCAAAAACCCCCCACAAAGGCCTACCATTTGTAAAAGTAGACACTCCAGGGTATCTCATAAGGTGCATATTGTGCCTTAACATACCCCCATTTTTTCACCAATATATGCCAAAGTATGTGGTAAAAAAATTATTTTGTGCATTTTTTACATACGGATTGCATTTTTGCTGGGCGTTTTGTATATTTCATATGTGCCACTAAGTTCAAACCTCCCAAATTATGCTCAGCTAAGTCTTTTGAGTAAAAATACACCCCCAATGAATGTCTTTGTCACTATTTTGTGAAGCTACAGTGCCATATAGGAGACCAAGTGAGAGTGGCAATCTGATTCTGCAGCCCTTGGATGTGGGCTGCATGTGTTGTGGTTGTCTGCTCAATTATATTTAGGCGCCCGTTAAATCCCCTGAGGTCTTCTCTCACCTGGGAGATTTCTGAGGAGAGGCTGTGGCGGAGATCCGCCAGGAGGCCGGTAAGTATCCCTGTGGTGAGAGGTTCTGACCCTTTGGCTGCTGGCTGGGCAGATGTTGTAGGGTTAATTCCCCGCTCTTCTGTATCGTGGAGGGAGTAGTCAGCCGAGTCGTCTGAGAAATCTCCCATGTCCGCCGCCATGTCAGTCCTCCCTGCGCCATCTCCCCATCGTAAGGAGAGTTGTCTGGGGCTTGTTGGGGGGTGTTGGGGGGTATGTTCAGCAGGATTAGGGCGTTTTTCGTGCCCGTTTGTCGGAGCTCAAGCAGAGAGCGACCGTTGCCGTCGGATGCTAGCTCCGCCCCCGTTTTTTTTGTTTTTTTTACTTAAATGTTATTAAAACATTTTTTTAAGCTTAATTTTTAACTTTTTAAAGTTTCTTTTAAAACTTTTTTTAACGTTAACCCCTAGTTAGCCTAACGCCAAATCCCCCAATTCCCCACTAACTTCCACCCACCCCAGCTATCTAAATATATAATTTAAAAATAATTTAATTAATTAATTTAACCCCTGAGGGTTAAAAAAAAAAAGAATTAACCCTCAGGGGTTAAAAAAAAAAATCAGATCATAGTAAAATGTAATCCCTGCCAATTGATCACTGTAGTCAGTGATCAATTGGCAGGGAATGGGTTAATTTTTTATTAAAATGGGTAAGGGGGGGGACACTTTAAATTAACTTTATTTTTTTTTCCAGCAGGGGGCAGGATCATCACTGATCCAGCTCCCTGCACTTCACACAGAACCCGGAAGCGCAGGGAGCCGGTAGGTGAGTATACAGAGCACATGTGCTCGCTCAGACTTGCGGTCAGAGCGAGCACATGTGCTGGGCAGCCTGACCGGGTGCTCCTGGTATGCCTCTAATACCATTAACCCCGCGATCGCCGCGATAGCGGCGATCCGGGGTTAATTTTACCGCGTGACGGACGAGATCCGTCACCCGTCGTTAAGGGTCTCCTCTCTGTGACGGACCTCGTCCGTCACCCGTCCTGAAGGGGTTAAGAGCTTTTCTGGGTAGATCCCGCCCTACCAGAGCAGAATGCTCTCCAATGCTGTTCCCATCTCCTATAACCTCCGATCCTTTACCAGCACTTTTTTTATCCTACCTCAATACAAAAAGAAAGCGGCTCGATCCTCCTTTTCCTACCTACAGAGCGCCACAATTGTGGAACGACCTCCCGCACACTTTCAAATCTTCCCCAAGCCTAAACTCTGCATACCTCAAAACAGAATGCACCTGTCATGGTTGATTATATATTTTCTACCTGTGCTATGTTGAATTTTGTATATATTGTGTATTAATATTGTTTTTGTATTTTATTGTACCATAATGTAACAATGCAATGTTTTATGGACCCAGGACATACTTGAAAACGAGAGTAATCCCAATGTATCTTTCCTGGTGAAATATTTTATAAATAAATAAACAATCCCCTCAAGTTATTACTTACTTGTACGTGGTATGCCAACCTAAGGACAGCTTCCACTTGGCTTCAGATTCCACTGAAAGATCAGGCTGCTTAGAGACACCGGGATGATGAAATATCTTCAGAATGATTATATTCTTTTATTTAAAAAAAAAAAATCACAGGGTCTACTATTTGGTCATGGTTATCTATTGCAGCTATCCTAATTGATCACATTTGTATTCGGTTTTTATTGAGTGGATGGCATTTTAACCTTTTGTTATTTATCTTTAATATTTTGTATTTAAAGGACCACTATAGTGCCAGGAAAACATACTCATTTTCCTGGCACTATAGTGCCCTGAGGGTGCCCCCACCCTCAGGGTCCCCCTCCCGCCAGGCTCTGGAAGGCGAAAAGGGGTTTAAACTTACCTTTTTCCAGCGCTGGGCGGAGAGCTCTCCTCCTTCTCTCCTCCTCCGTTCCTCCTCCTGGGCTGAATGCGCACGCGCGGCAAGAGCTGCGCGCGCATTCAGCCCGTCGCATAGGAAAGCATTTACAATGCTTTCCTATGGACGCTTGCGTGCTCTCACTGTGAAAATCACAGTGAGAAGCACGCAAGCGCCTCTAGTGGCTGTCAATGAGACAGCCACTAGAGGAAATAGGGGAAGGCTTAACCCATTCATAAACATAGCAGTTTCTCTGAAACTGCTATGTTTATGAAAAAATGGGTTAACCCTAGCTGGACCTGGCACCCAGACCACTTCATTAAGCTGAAGTGGTCTGGGTGCCTAGAGTGGTCCTTTAACTCCTTTGTTGGATAATTGTTAGGGCTTTTTTTCACATATCTGTACTTGTTTGTTTTTTTCGCAGAAAAAAAACTAAAGTATTAAAAAACAAACAAACCAAGTGTTATACTCCTAGTAAAGCTTCTAGCATAGAGAGCTGATGCATTCATACTATGTCTATCATGATGTTTCTCTCTCACCCACAGTGGTTTTATACTCCCTCATATTGTCAGTTCTGACAATTCATGGTTGTTTATTTGTTAAAAGTTTCTCCCACTGACAACCCTCTTGGCTAGCCATTACTTGCCTAGCCTGATCTCACTTAGCATGTCCATATGTACAGCCTGGCCCTGTGCATCCTTTGATTTTCTCCTCTTATCCCAGGAAGTGACATGCTTATTCAGCTAGCTATTTAGGCTGTATTCCTCTTATTTCTTTTCTCTCTTGGTTAACAAAAAAAAAATGCAGCATATTGACACAGATCCATTCTTGACCCAAGATTCTGGAGATACAATCTAATACTATTTTAATTTTCAATCCTTTGTTGGGTCTCGGTTCCTTGATCAATTTAGATTTGTACATCAGACACTCAGAGTGACCAATCATACTCTCCCTCCGCATTAGCTCACTTCTTTATTTGTTAACATTGAAGCGTACATGAATTCTGGACCACTAGTGATGATAGTGTTTTACATCATGTGCATTCCCGTAATCTGTTTTATTTATTTGAGATATAGATTCAGATTACGAAACAAGTCCTAGATGTTTTTTTCCACTCATCACACACACTTTCTTCATTCAGATAATGTGATTTCTTCATGTTTGATCTGTGTGGTGATATTAATCAGGAATCAGATAATCACAGATACAGTTATAATTATTTTTATTAATTATTATTGTACTGCAATATACAGGCAGACATTTTAACATTGCTGCGGTTCCTGTGATTAATAATATGTGATTGATCCAGAGGAAGGCAAAGAAAAACCCAGGTAAATGATGTCTTGCTGGGGAAAAAAAATTCCTTCCTGACCCCATGTATGGCGATCGGTTTAATATACTCTGGACCAGCCAACTAATGTGTTATAACTGTATATTGCTGAACATATTACACTAAAATGCTACTAGAAAGGATAACATTCAGAAAATAACTTCCTTGCTCTCAGAGCCTACACTCTAATATGAATGGTACAATACAGAGAATGAGGTCCCTTCTCACAGAGCTTACACTCTAATATGAATGATACAATACAGAGAGAGGTCTAATATGAATGATACAATACAGAGAGAGATGTCCCTGCTCACAGAGCTTACACTCTAATATTAATTATACAATACAGAGAGAGGTCTAATATGAATTATACAATACAGAGAGAGAGGTCCCTGCTCAGAGCTTACACTCTAATATGAATTATACAATACAGAGAGAGAATACCCTGCTCACAGAGCTTACACTCTAATATGAATAATACAATACATAGAGAGAGGTCCCTGCTCACAGAGCTTACACTCTTATATGAATTATACAATACATAGAGAGAGGTCCCTGCTCACAGAGCTTACACTCTTATATTAATTATACAATACAGAGAGAGAAAGAGGTCCCTGCTCACAGAGCTTACACTCTAATATGAATTATACAATACACAGAGAGAATACCCTGCTCACAGAGCTTACACTCTAATATGAATGATACAATACAGAGAGAGAGGTCCCTGCTCACAGAGCTTACACTCTAATATGTATTATACAATACAGAGAGAGAGAGGTCCCTGCTCGCAGAGCTTACACTCTAATATGAATGGTAAAATACAGAGAGAGAGGTCCCTACCCACAGAGCTTACACTCGAATATTGATGGTAAAATACAGAAATTGAGGTATCTGGTCTTATAGCTTACACTCTAATATGAATGGTACAATACAGAGAGGGAGGTCCCTGCTCACAGAGCTTACACTCTAATAGGAATGGTACAATACAAAGAGAGAGGTCCCTGCTCACCGAGCTTACACTTTAATATGAATGATACAATACAGAGATAGAGGCCCTTGCTCACAGAGCTTACACTCTAATATGAATTATACAATACACACAGAGAGAGAGAGGTCCCTGCTCACAGAGCTTACACTCTAATATAAATGGTAAAATACAGAGAGAGGTCCCTACTCACAGAGCTTACACTCTAATATTGATGGTACAATACAGGAATTGAGGTCTTTTAGGTTACACTCTAATATGAATGGTACAATACAGAGAGGGAGGTACCTGCTCACAGAGCTTACACTCTAATAGGAATGGTACAATACAGGGAGGGATGTCACTTCTGACAGAACTTACACTCTAATAGGAATGGTACAATACATATAGAGAGGTCCCTGCTCACAGAGCTTACACTCTAATGTGAATGATACAATACAGAGAGGGAGGTCGCTTCTGACAGAACTTACACTCTAATAGGAATGGTACAATACAGAGAGGGAGGTCCCTGCTCACAGAGCTTACACTCTAATAGGAATGGTACAATACACAGAGAGAGAGAGAGGTCCCTGCTCACAGAGCTTACACTCTAATATTGATGGTACAATACAGGAATTGAGGTCTTTTAGGTTACACTCTAATATGAATGGTACAATACAGAGAGGGAGGTACCTGCTCACAGAGCTTACACTCTAATAGGAATGGTACAATACAGAGAGGGAGGTCGCTTCTGACAGAACTTACACTCTAATAGGAATGGTACAATACAGAGAGGGAGGTCCCTGCTCACAGAGCTTACACTCTAATAGGAATGGTACAATACACAGAGAGAGAGAGAGGTCCCTGCTCACAGAGCTTACACTCTAATATTGATGGTACAATACAGGAATTGAGGTCTTTTAGGTTACACTCTAATATGAATGGTACAATACAGAGAGGGAGGTACCTGCTCACAGAGCTTACACTCTAATAGGAATGATACAATACAGAGAGGGAGGTCGCTTCTGACAGAACTTACGCTCTAATATGAATGGTACAATACAGAGAGGGAGGTCCCTGCTCACAGAGCTTACACTCTAATAGGAATGGTACAATACAGAAAGAGATGTCCCTTCTGACAGAGCTTACACTCGAATATAATGGTAAAATACAAAAATTGTGGTCCCTGCTCACAGAGCTTACACTCTAATATGAAGGGTACAATACATAGAAGTAGGTCCCTGCTTATAGAGCTTTAATTAGAATGATACAATACATAGAAGGAGGTCCCTCCTCACAGAGCTTACACTCTAAAATGAACGATACAATACAGAGAGAGAGAGGTCCCTGCTCACAGAGCTTACACTTTAATATGAATGTTACAATACAGAGAGGGAGGTCCCTGCTCACAGAGCTTACACTCTAATAGAAATGGTACAATACAGAGAGGGAGGTCGCTTCTGAGAGAACTTACACTCTAATAGAAATGGTACAATACAGAGAGGGAGGTCCCTGCTCACAGAGCTTACACTCTAATAGGAATGGTACAATACAGAAAGAGATGTCCCTTCTGACAGAGCTTACACTCGAATATGATGGTAAAATACAAAAATTGAGGTCCCTGCTCACAGAGCTTACACTCTAATATGAAGGGTACAATACATAGAAGTAGGTCCCTGCTTATAGAGCTTACACTCTAATTAGAATGATACAATACATAGAAGGAGGTCCCTCCTCACAGAGCTTACACTCTAAAATGAACGATACAATACAGAGAGAGGTCCTTGCTCACAGAGCTTACACTTTAATATGAACGTTACAATACAGAGAATAGATGCAGCTTTCATATTAAGATGAATGGTAGAATATAGAAAAATATATTTGATCACAGAGTTCTCATATTAATATAAATGGCAAAACTGATGGAAAGACAAAAGCTCACAGAGCTGTCAATATAAAATGAATGATATAATACAGAGAATGATCTTTGCTTACAGAGTTTTCTTATTTGTAAAGTACAGAAATATTCTTGAGAATCTTCATTTCTTCTCCTTTCATTCAATTTTCATTTCTTCCAATGGAGCGTTAGATGGACATTTGTATTCATTACACTTAACCCAACAGTATACAGCTGGAATGTATTCAGGTTGGCTTCTTGTTCATCTAGCATCTTTTTCATGAAAGTAATTATCTCCCAAACAACAATTAGAAAACTTCCAAAAAGTTCAATCAAACTTGAGCCAATTGATATTGACCTTACAATTTGGCAACAAACCTTGCACCCTAACATCCATACATTTCAATACGAAATTCAAATGTTCCACTATTATGATTATCTTTGCTAACCCAGATATGACTTGTTTTCCACTAATTTGCCATCCAAAGTTCAATCTGGCCAGAGTCAAATAAAATTGATTGCAAAATTTGGCATCAAAGTTGGCACCCTAACATTCATGCATTTCAGTGGGAAGTTCTGAAGAAGTAACTACATTTTTCCTGTATGAAAACCATATTTGCACATTCAAATTTGGTTTGTTTTCTTCTGATTGGACTACCCTCTAAAGGAAAACATTCCGTCTGGCCTAAGCCAAATTATATTGATAAATAAAAATATACAACTAAACAAGACAATCAAACATCCATGCATTTCAATGGGAAATTTTGAATAAGTAACCATGCTTTTCCCCGAAAAATAAACACCTTGCCTCACCCATATTTGGTTTGTTTTCTACTAACTGGACACCCAGTTCAATCTAGCCGTAACCAAATGATATTGATTGTGAAATATGGCACCAAACCTGGCATCCTAACATCCAATAGGAAATTCTGAATAAGTAACCAAGTTCTTCCTCTATGGAAATCATCCTGCCTCGCTCAAATTTGGTTTATTTTCTTTTAATTAGGCTTCCCTGTTTATAAAAATGTTCACTCTGGCCTGAGCCAAATAATATTAATCATACAATACAACACAGTACCTGGCACCCTAACATTAATGAACTTCAAAGGGAAATTCTGAATAGGTAACCAGAAATGTCCCCTTCTAAAACCATCTTGGCTCCCCAAGTTTTGGCTTGTTTTCTACTAACTGGCATCCCTCTATATGAATAAGATCAAACTGTTCTGCCAAAAATATATTAATCATGAGATTAATATGCCAAACCTGGCCAACTAACATCCATGCTTTCAGTTGTAATAAGTAACCATGCTGTTTCACTATGAAAACAACATTGGCTCACCTAGATCTGGCTTGTTTTTGACTAATTGGGCATCCATTATAGGCCTGAGTCAAGTGATAGTGATCGCAAAATATTGCATCCATGCATTTCAATAGAAAATTTTGAATAAGTCAATAATCAATCTTTTCCCCCTATAAAAACCATATTGGCTCACCCAATTTTTTTTGTTTTCTTCTGATAGGGCTTGCGTCTAAAGAAAACAGTTCAATCTGTCCTGAGTCAAATTGTATTGATCCCGCTAACAAACCTGGCACCATAGCATCTATGCATATCAATAGTTAATCCTAAAAAGGTAACCAATTTTTTGCTCAATGAAAACCACCTTGGCTCACTCAGATTTGGCTTGTTTTCTACTATTTTACATTGCTCTGTAGGAAAAAGTTCAATTGGCCTGAGCTAAATGATATTGATCACAAAATATGCAATCAAACCTGGCACACTAACACTAATACATTTCAATAGTAAATTCTAAATAAGTAACCAAGCTTTTCTTCTATGAGTACCATATTGGCACACCAAAATTTGGTTTCTTTTCTTCCTTCCCTTCCTGCCCCCCTTAATATAGTAAAATCTTACATTTATTCCAGTCTGCTGCTGCTGGCTCTGCCTCTGATCTGCCTCCTTGGCTGACATCATCAGAAGTGATGATCTGAGCCAATCACAATGCTTTCTCACCCACCCTGGCCAGTCAGCATCGCCTCATAGAGCTGCATTGAATCAATGCATATCTATGAGGAAAGTCCAGTGTCTCCATGTAGAAGGTGGAGACACTAAATGTCCGTGCTACTGTGCAGCACTGTCCTAGGTAGCACCTCTAGTAGCCATATGAAGAGTGGCCACTGAAGGTATCCCAAGGCTGTAATGTAAACACTGCATTTTCTCTGAAAAGGCAGTGTTTACATTAAAATACCTGCAGGAACATGCTATAGACACGATAACAACTACATTAAGCTGTAGTTGTTCTAATGACTAAAGTGTCCCTTTAATCTAGATTGAAGCTTTTGAAAATAGTTTTTTTGTTCTTTAGTAAATAATTACTTTTATTAAAAAAAACGCTGGTTGAACATGAAGCCAACCTACATAATAAGCACGGTGAATATGAAGCCAACTTCAGTCTTCATATAAGAAGCTGACTTTGGCATCATTCTTTCATATTAGTATACATAGTATAATGCAGGGAAAGACTCACAGGCTTGCAGGTTTCATATTAATATAAATGGTACAATACAGAGAAAGGCTATCCCTGTTTATAGTATATATTCTAATATGGCAGATAACATGTATGAATATTCTTGAGAATCTTCATTTCTTCTTCTCCTTTCCTTCTTTTCTTACCTCTCAGTAGATCTTTTGTAGTAGATGGATTTGTTTTCTTTACAATTCCCACTAGAAGATCTGCAATAATTCCACTCTAGATACTAATACTTCATGGTTCCCTTAGAGATGAAGACTGAATATACAACAAGCTGACTAGCTGAATTCCGCTGCACTGAATGAAGAAACAAAGCTGAGCTGGATCACTGGAGATATCTATTCTATTGTGATGTCATCAACCTGTCATATGTGTGATATGATGTCACAACTGGGCATGTTTCTAACATTTTGTATAGTGAATGAGCCGTAAAGTCCGCCCACGTTTTTCTCACATTTTTACTTTGTTTTTTATCGATACAAAGGGACCATGAAACAGAATGAGAATAAATAAATTAACATATTTTTCCTTTGCTGTTATTTCCTTTAAGATTATTTGATGATATTTAGGTTTAACTAACACAGAGAGAAAACATGGATCTCCTTCATAGGTGTTAGTTGAAACATCTATTGGGTGTTACTTTATATTCACATATATGTTTACAAAATAAATAAAACAAAAGAATGACTTTTTTCCTTCATAAACCATTGAATATTAAAACAAAAAATACACACTTTTCTGTAAAATATATGAAAGTCCTTAATCTTAGCAAGGACGCTAAGGACGTTTTTTTAAACACAATTTATTTTTATTTTTATTAAACCAAAGCATGGTTAGTGATTAAATAGGCTCAGAATATAAATTTGTCAAATTTCCATGTATGATGACTGAAATGGGCATGCCCCATATTTGACCCTGTAACTTTCCAGAACCCCAGAAAACAGCACATGTGGGTATTATTGTACTTGTGAGATGTTGCTGAACAGAACTATGGGTGTTTATTGCAGTTAAATGGATGATGATATGAACAGTGAAAGAGTAGTGTTTGTATGAAAAATTAGAATTTTTCTATGTTTAATGACAAAGTGGCTACAATGTTAAGGACTGAAATGGACAAGCAACATTTTTGGCTCTGTAAGTTCCAAAAAAAAAAAAAACATGAAACCTGTACATTGGGGCAATTGTTGAATTGTTGTACCTGTGAGGCATTACAGAATGCAAATTTATTTAAGTAAAATCAGAATAATGATATTCACAACAAAAATATCAAGTAAGGGATCTATATGGTGTTTTTAACTATACATGTTTGTGTTCCTGACCTTATAGTGCTCCTTTAATGTTAAAATGTTATATTAGGCCAAAATTCTTGTTTTGGTTTAGAAATTAGACAATTGCCTTAATACTTGGGGGGCTAACCCTCCCTTATATGAATAAGGGGGTCATATTGATTTCCATATGCCTTTTTTAGTTTTTATTATTATTATTGGTATTTATATAGCGCCAACTAATTCCGCAGTGCTTTACAATATTATGAAGGGGAGGGGGGGGGAGGGGGATTTACAATAAGTGGGACAATTACACAGTGACAGAGGAACAATATGTAGATGAGGACCCTGCTCAAACGAGCTTACAGTCTAGATGAGGTTGGGTACAAATACACAACAGGGCAGCAAGGGTGACAGCCAAAAAACAAGATGGAAAAGTAGTAGAGGTGGAGGTGAGACTGGAGTATGGCTCTTTAGGAGAGCAAGAGACAGATTTGGATAAGTATAGATAAGTTACTCTGGGAGTCCATAAGCATTCCTGAACAGATGTGTTTTGATGGACTTCTTAAACAATTGAAGACTAGGGGAGAGTCTGATGGGGGTAGGCAGGCTGTTCCAAAAGAAGAGAGCCGCCTTCGAGAAGTCCTGCAAGCATGAGTTAGCAGTAAGGGTGTGCGCAGCGGACAGGAGGTGGTCACCGGCAGAGTGGAGAGACCGAGCAGGGGCATATCTATGAATCAGGTAAGAGGGACTAGAGTTGGTTAGAGCTTTATAGGTAAGGGTTAGTATTTTGAATTGACACCCATAGGATACAGGAAGCCAGTGTTAGGATTGACAGAGGGGCGAGGTATGGGAGGAGCGACAGGTGAAAAAGATCAGCCTAGTGGCAGCATACATCACCGATTGTAGCGGGGGAGTTCGGCTTTTGGGGATACCAACTAGAAGAGAATTACAGTAATCCATGCAAGAGATTACCAAAGCATGAACAAGCTCCTGGCAGCATCTTGCATGAGAAAGGGGTGGATGTGGCCAATATTTTTAAGGTGGAATCGACAGGTTTTAGCAACATACTGGATATGTGGTGCAAAGGTGAGGCCAGGATCAAAGATAACACCAAGACAACGAACTTGCAAGAATGGACTGATGCAAGTACCATCAACTTGCAGGGAAAGCGAAGGAGGAGGATCAGCACTATGAGGGGGGAAATAAGAAGCTCAGTTTTAGAGAGATTGAGTTTCAGAAAGCGTGAGGCCATCCAATCTGAGATTGAAGAAAGGCAAGCAGTGACACGTTGTAGGGCCGCGGGGGAGAGATCAGTGGAGAAGAGAGATATCTGGGTGTCGTCGGCATGCAGATGGCAGTGGAATCTAAAGGAGATAATGAGTTTGCCAAGAAAGGCAGTATAAAGAGAGAACAGAAGAGGACCAAGAACAGATCCTTGGTTGACTCCAATTGAGACAAGGAGAGAGAAGAAGTGTCATTGCAAAAGGAGACACTGAACGAACGTTGAGAGATATAGGAGGAGAACCACGAGAGGACAGTGTCACAGAGACCGAGGAATTGAAGAGTTTGGAGAAGAAGGACATGATCAACACTGTCAAAGGCAGCAGAGAGGTCAAGAAGAATTAGTATGGAGTAGTGGCCCCTGGATTTGGCTGCGATTAGGTAATTTGTAACTTTAATAAGAGCAGTTTCAGTAGAGTGGAGGAGGCGAAAGCCAGACTGAAGAGGAGGGAGTTGGAATTTTGGAAGTGAGTCATACCAGTAAAGACAAGTCTTTCTAGAAGTTTTGAGAAAAAAGGAAACCGGGATATGGGAGGATAGTTGGAAGAGGAAGATGGGTCTAGGGATAGCTTTTTTAGGATGGGTATGACAGTAGCATGTTTAAGGGGAGCAGGGACAACACCAGATGAAAGAGAGCAGTTTAGGATGTGTGTTAAGGATGGTACAAAACAAGGGGAGAGAGATTTGATAAGGTGGAAAGGTGCTGGATCAAGCGGACAGGTGGTGGGACGAGAGGAGAGGAGAAATGAAGCCACCTCCTGTTCTGTAGCTGGGGAGAAGGCCTGTAGAGTAGGGAAGGTACAGTCCAGGTGTTGTAGCGAGAGGGAGGAGCAAAGAGCGGTAAAGTAGCATGCAAGGCTATCTGTTGAAAGGTCAGTTTGAGGCGTGGCTTAAGGTGGGTGAAGGAGAGAGTTGAAGGTATTAAAGAGACGCCTGGGATTGCGTGAGCATGAACTAACAAGAGAAGAAAAGTAGGATTGTTTAGTAAGGGTGAGGGCTGTGCTATATGAACACAAAATGAATTTATAATGGCGGAGGTCTGACAAGGTGGTGTGGTGGCTGGCTAGCAAGACCCAGTCAGACGCCACATGATTAACCCTTGTGTTGCTGAGGATTTTTGTAACTATTTGCCCTGTTGTCACTAGTCCTGGCAATGGGTAAATAGAAAAAAAATATATTCACAACTTTAAGTTGTTGGATTCGTTAAGGCAATTTATTGATCGACATGTGACCAATAAGTGGAATGAAATCATTTCAGCTGATATTTACAATGAAATGTATATGTGTCAGTTAAGTCACATGGCTAAAAATTTCTACTCTCCACTAGCCATTGGCTAGTGAAAATTCAGCCCTGACGAATAGAAATTTACCACTGATCGGTGTGCCATGTACTTTCCATGTGTGTAGTGGTAAATATCTTTTTAAGCCTTCCTAGTTGTGTAGGACTAAAAATTTTAGGCCCCAGCATTAGATATTTGACTTCCGATAAGCCTTTAACAGCATTTATTTAATCTCTCCATAGTGATATATGACTTATCGGAATATGATAAACTCTGGATAACGACGGTCGGCTCTAATTTAATCGAAGTCTTGGTTATTTATCAATTCGGCAATTCTCTTTTTGCTAAATAAACCAAGAAATGTCCAAGTATCCTGCTGCACAGATTTATAATTACTGCTCTAAAGAAACTGTAAACATAAGAATAAGACATGTTATTTTAATTACAATATTTACTTTGCCGATGTGTGTGTGTTCATTTACAAACATTTGTATGCATATATATATAAAATTCACAGTGTAAGAAACATTGTCTATCACATCAAATGCATTTATCTATCTACAGTGACTGAGTGCATCTTCCCAGAACTTATAACACTAAATGTGTTCTCCCTGAATGATGGAAGTTTAGTCCAACATTTTGCCTTATCTTTATTAGATACATTAATAATACTTGACATAAATCTTATTTTGCATAGCGTTCCCCACTGGATGTACGCAACAAGATCCCATTAGTTGTGATGTGCATCAAACAATTCCTAGACTACTTGGCTGTGAATCAAAAGGTGAGCACTCATGAGCATCAAAATCCAGGAGTATTTTATAGGTTACATAAAGTCCAGGGGCTTTAGCCCAAAGGTAAATCTCGTGGCTCTTTTCAGCATTTATTTGTTTCATTTTCAAAACTTGGACTCTTTATGTTAAATCATTACATAATTACACAATTTGTAATTACGAGATTGTGCAGATCAGTAAATGGGTCTTTGGACATCTGTCAATAGGATTGTTATTTTTCTCTCACTATTACAAACATTAATATTGAAATAATACCGCAGCTGCAGATTTTCAGGAAACTCAAGGCTTTCAATTAAATGGTGGTAAAATAGGACCCAGGACCTTTCAGGAACCACTTATGGCTTTCACCCAGGTCATCCCACAAGCAACACCCCTGATTATAATAGTATTTTAGGCTAGTTCTGCTTTAACCACTTCTCCTCCTGAGGAGGTAGGATGTCAGTGCAGCAGGTAGATCTATTTTATCATGATCGTCACTTCTTTCACTCTATTTGCTTATATTTATAGCACATGAAAAATATACCTGGTTATTAAAGTTTCTTTGAAATCGGTCATCTTGAAGGACTTTATGTAAAAAATGATGATTGGCATTAACTCAAGTTCATTTCCTTAAACAGAAACTGAATTTTATTTGATGCATGAAATCAGGTCCGGAGGAAACAGATAATTACCAGTTTATTTTCAAATTGATGATACCCAGCAAATTCTGACGTGAGTGATCTGTGCGATGTGCAATGGGAGCAGAAGTTGATGCGATGACTAATGACCGATCTGGAATTTGGGTTCCAATCACTACAGGTAGTAAACAACCATTTGTAGGCATGTGTGGAGATTTCCCACCATGGGGAAGGGTGTTCAGGGATCCAGAAGAAACACCAATGAGGCGAGCTGGTTTATTGTTAGTTGCACCTTCTGCAGCAAGAAGAAACATCTCAGAATAAAGGTAATGAAGCATTAACAAAGAAAAAAAAGTCAGGCTTTTTTATGTACTGCAATGTCCAAGAGGTTAACTAAGCACCACATAACATGAAATCCACAGTTACTAGTCACTCATAGGTTGCAATGACTTAGATATACTCTAGAGTTTAAATATGGGAACACTTAACTAATTTAACTAACCAAAATCTGGTTTGTCTTAAAGGGATTTTCTAACTCTTTTTATAAAATCTCTAAAATCTAGTTTACAATGCCCCACTCAACATTATTCACTAAATCTTTATGAACGTGCACATAGAAGACAAACGTACCTGGAATCCAGTGCCGGGTTAAGCGTTTCTCGCTGGATTCCATGCCTTTGTCCAATGTCATTGGTGCTCCCTCATGGTCTAATAAAATGCAAAATTTAACCGATTCACTGGCTCAGAGTGCATATAATCCCTCTGAGCCAGCAAAGGGAGGGAGAAAGTGCAGATGGACAGAGAGAGGGTATCTGAGATAAAAAAAGGAATGTTAAAGGGACACTATAGTCACCAGAACAGCTACAGATTAATGTAGTTGTACTGGTGAGTATAATCATTGCCTTCAGACATCTTAATGCAAACACTGCCTTTTCATAGAAAAGGCAGTGTTTACATTGCCCCTACGGACACCTCCATGTGGCCACTCCTCAGATGCGTCTCAATGAACTGCATGGGGACGCTGACATTTCCTCATAGAGATGCACTGATTTAATGCATCTCTATGAGGACGTGCTGATTGGCCAAAACGGTGTTTGGCCCTGCCCCTTGCCGATTTTAGCCAATCCAATGCATTCTCCATGGGAAAGCATTGGCTTGGCAAAAAAAAAGGCAATTCTTATGATGTCACCAGGGGGCGGGCCCTGTGCCGGCTGACCCGTGCGGCGCTGGAAATAAGGTGAGTTTTAATTGCTTTTAAGGGGGCAAACCATCTAAATGGTGGGTTTAGCACTATAGGGTCAGGAATACATGGTTGTGTTCCTGACCCTATAGTGTTCTTTTAAAGGTATACGGAGGCAGGTATGGCGGGGAGGGAGAGGGCTTAAATTAAAGAAGGGAGGAAGGGAGTGTAGATTTGCTGCCTACAATAGACAAGCTAATTTAATGCCTGCAAGAAATAAACTAATGTCATGCGCAGAAGACAGATGTAATTTTTGCACAGACCGGAACAGAGTTCTGGGCTTCCTAGATTACGTGTGGGATACAACTAGCCCCCATCAAAAAAGTGCAAATATCTTTGGATGTGCATCTTTCCAAGCAGAAATGCTGCACATAGAGATTCCTAACACCCATGAACACTTCACATGTGAACACCACACATTACAGTGTGTTATAATGGTGCCAGACTTTTTAATGCAATCTCTGTAATGTTGACAGGTATTCTAGCACTCCTATCCATGTCAAGTATTCTGAACTCCTACAATAGAGGCCATCTAAGAGAGAAAAAGGGATACGTGACTTATGTTATACCACGAAGCAGAGATAGCTTGACCATATTATATCCAGGTTTTATCTGTTGTTAATGTTCCACCAACATCTTATCTTTGTTTTACTAGACAATTCAATTATTTTATTATATGTGATTGATTGTGGGGGTGGAGAATTCACCTTTCAATTTCCATTATATATTGGCATGGCCCTTTTTACATCTGCTTGCTGCTATACCACCAATTAGAAAGGGATAGCGTTTCCACTGCAGCACACTGTTCTGGCAATACAATGCACATGGACACCCACAAATGTATAATAGGTAAAAAAAAAAACTAAAAAAAAACAACATTTTTTTAAATAAAATATTGCCTCTCCTATCTTTGGAATTATCAAGTATTAGAATATACAGAGCAGAACATTTTCTGTCGGTTTGTGGTTTTGCAGGTCGGATTTGGGTGGAGTGACTTTAAAATGAAGAACAGCTTAGCAACTGCCATCAGTTTAACTTACAATGTAAAGTGTAAAAATATATCAACTAATTGTATTTTATTCTATAAAGCAGCTTTCACAGCTATACTTGTTCTCGCAGTCCTCTACTTGCAGTGATTCTTACTTACATCATACTATTATTATATACCTAATCTCAAGTTACACTGTGCCCAACTATGACTCACTAATGATAGTAACTCCACAACTAGATCTAATGACACGTAATGGAGTTTATTCAATTTAAAAAGTGTAAGCTGGCAAAGTTTCAACCCAAGATTGGCAAAGGCCCATAGCTGGATTGAAATGTTGCCAAATCAGTCATATGAGATTGAATAAACTAAATAATTTGTCATAACATGATGAAAAGGAGTGATTATTTTCCTTAACCCCTTCAGGACAGAGTCAATAGTACACGTTCTGATCAAAACAAAATATAAACAAAAAAATGGAATTTGCGCTATGTCTGTTCAACAGTAATTCACCTCTTTCATATTATATGTACCCACACTTATTATATATCATTTTGTTCAGGAGAAACGGGGCTTTCATTTCATATCAAATATTTATATATGAAACATAATTTATCATGAATAAAATAAAAAAACTGAGAAATGTAAAAATTTTTTTACAATTTGTAGTTCCGCCTCACATTTTAGCTGTAAATGTCATAATACTGTTAGCTTTTACTGCAAAAAAAGCACATATTTGGATTCAGCAAAGTCTCACGAGTACAACAGTAGCCCCCATTAACAGTTTTTATGGTGTTTTGGAAAGTTAAAGGGTCAAATGTAGCACATATCCATTTTTCATTTTTTTCACATTGACATTTGCCAGATTAGTAATGTTACCTTTGAGACCATGTGGTAGCCCAGGAATGAGATTTACCCCCATGATGGCATACCATTTGTCTATCATTCACATTAGCAATGTCAATGTAATCAAAATTTGAAGATCCTGACTGTGATGGTAGTCACCATCCTTGGGAACATAAGATGGACACTTTAATAAGGTCTCTGGATGATTCCTATGTCACCCTGTGTCCATTGTGGGTGCAGGGTGTGTGTGTAATGTGGTTCTTTGGGGTTAAATGTTAGTGTGGTCTCCTGTTCTCATTGCTAATTTTTGCAATCAACTAGATGGATTTGGCCACGGAGCCTGTACGCTGTTTGTTGCAAGGATCAAGCAACAGCTATATGCACTACCTGAATAACAAGGCATGCTTATTTGCATATTCAGGTAGGTTTGCATATTGCCAATTCTGCCGGCAGGAGAGATATTTTGTGTTTAATATTGTTTTCCCTACCCCTTTATAAATATGTTATTATAATGCTCTGTATGTTTTGTGACATGTTTTGGTTATTTTTATTTTATTTAGTTTGTCACAGCAATCTTTATGTAATATTCATATGGACTAGTCCCGAGTAAAAATAAAGGTTTGCATGTTAGTTCCTTTTGTAACTGTGTCCTGTGTAGATTTTAAGGGATTCCAGTAACAGAGTCTTTGGACGTGTTGGTTGGCTGCACAATCCCTATAGCCCTTGGATAAATCTAGATAGCTAGGTGTAAGGAATAGGCAAAGACATTGATCTGAAAACAGTAAGGTTAGTTGTTAGTGTTGGACTTATCAAAGAGGTATGCCTTGATTTTGACAGGTGAGCTTATACTTCATAGCCATAAAGTGGTACTTAAAAACTTGCAGGGTTATTTAGACAAATGGATATCATAAACTGCATGGATATATCATAAATCATGATGAAATCCAAACAACCCTTTTGCAAATGAACAGGCAATAAGCGCATAAACTATGAAAAATACCATGAACTTACTCTGGTCACTCTTGTTTTTGGCACTGTTGAATCGTATTTGGCTCACACCTTTTGGTGGTTTGGCAAATGAAAGTGGCTCATTGGCAGCAGGTGCTGGCCAAACATTTTGAGCTCCTTTCCAGATAATGGCTTTCTGGGGACCATATTTCCTCACTGCATACTGTGCTGAAGAAGGTGCACCTCCTCCTGACCCAGGAAAGCTAGGACGATATGCTTTATTTCCATAAGGTATGTGATTAGATATGGCATCAGTAGCAGCTTGCGCCCCTGTCTCTGCAACTCTCTCTCCCATGAAGGTCATGGGCACAGAGCTCATATCTTCAGAGTCCTGGCACAAGAATGTCGACTGAAAGACAAAAGTAATAAGTTAAACAAATAAACAAACATCAAACATTAACCCCATCAGGACCAGGCTGTTTTGGCCATGTTGTACGTTAAGGACCATGGCTATTTTAACACTTTTGTGGTGTTTGTGTTTAGCTGTAATTTTCCTCTCTCTCATTTACTGTTCCCATACAAGTTATATATAGTTTTTTTTTCAGGACAAGAAGGGCTTTCTTTACATACCATTATTTGTATCATGTCATATAATTTACTTTAAAAAAAAAACTACGGTGAAAAATTTTAAAAAAATTACAATTTGTGTTTTACTGTCTCACTTTGTCTGATATCATCAAAGTTTATTGTATGTGCAGAAGCCCTATAAAGGGTTAAATGTTAAAGGGTTTATAAAATACCCCTTCCTGTCTCATTGGAGACTCATGGCTGATATCGGCATATCTAATGGCTAGTGTAGGAACTCACCTATTGAGGCTTGCCTTGACGTGGCAGGTGAGCTTACATATTCAAATGGCCATTAGAATAAAACCAAAGAGCCTCCATTTCTGTTTAAACGCACATGGGGATTTAGGCCAGAGCGCAGGTAACGTTCTCTTTGTTTTTACTATGTATTTTAAGCTGTTGGATACTAAGCCACTGCTGCTGTAAGCGCGGTGCTTTATCTTTGTGTTTGTATATGTGTTTTACTTTTACTTATCTACAAAAGCTAATGAAAAAAAAAAGCTAAATATTCAAAATGTTGTCCTGAGTTTAAAAACACCCATTGTTTACATGCCTTTTAGCTTTTTTTTGCAAGTTATAGGGCTATAAGTACAAATAGGAAATTGCTGTTTCAAAATATATATTTTTTTAAATGTATCAATAGTGACATTGTAACACTGTTATCTGTCATAAATCTCTGAATCACACCCCACATGTACATATTTTTTTTAAAGTAGACAACCCAGGGTATTCATTTAAAGATATTTTGACACTTTCTATGCAGCCATTTTACCACCAATCTTTGCCAAACATTGCATAGGTAATTTCTTTGTTTGATTTTTTTCACATACATTGCAATTCAGCTATAAATTCACAGATTGGAAGGCATGGCCTGAAGTTGTGGGAGGGGCTATAGACATATAAAAGGGACTCCCCCCTTTCCCTACTTACCTTTGTTGGTCAGATGAATAGCCCCACCCTCCACTCCCATTGTTCATATTTCCTCTATGTAAGCCCACTTTTTACCGGCCTACAGCATGCGTCGGTTTCGGCACACCTCAACCGATTATTCCTAAAGCTACATCTCTACAACCCATCTTATTCTATATCATATGAAAATGCCCCGAACAAAAATCCTATTATGTGTTGCTGCTACAAAACACGCTAATATGTGTTCAGCAACATCTCCTGAGTACAGTGACCATCCATGCATAGGTTTGTCGGGTTGTTTGGGGGCTAAAAAGCCACATATGGCCACACTTGGAATTTTGACATGTAGTCAACCTGCGCCCATGTGCTATTTGGGACATTTTTGAAGCTGGACAATGTATTTTAACCCCATCAAACCATATATTTTTTAAAAAGTAGACAACCCAGGGTATTTTAAATGGTAGCATTTTAACACTTTTCATGCATTAATTCTACCACCAGCCTTTGTTAAACTTTAGGCTAGCATTTTTTTGTGTTTTTTTCACACACATTGTGCTTTAGGCATGAATTAACAATGTGTTCAGCAACATTTCCCGAGTACAGTGATACCACCCATGCATAGGTTTGATGGGTTGTTTGGGGGCTAAAAGGCCACGATAGAGACTTGTGCATGTCAGTTTTTCAACTTGATATATAGGTATGTGTGGCGGAACCAGCCTCGCCACTGGGCATTGGAGAAGAGTGATTGCCAGCCTCCTGCCATGTGACTATGGCCCCTGGGAGACTTTGCCCTGTGTAAGCATTATTTGGGCTTTTAAGATTTTGAAACACTTTTTCTGTCCCTTTGAATACATGAGAAGGTGTGCCCCTCCCCCGTTTACTGTCTATTGTTCTCCAGCAGGGCGTTGTCCCAGGGACACTGCCAGACCAGTTGGAACTTGTTGCTAAACTCTAACCCCATAGCGATTTGACTGTTTGTGGGATCTGAGCGCTGTTCGGATATAGTGAGCGCTCAGATCCAAGCTATCTGGGGATAGGTTGAATGTGGGAATTATGTATTTTTTTGTGTTTTTGCTGTTGTTGTAAATGGAGATATTTTCTGTATGCTGGAGATAGTTGGATTACCACACCCAAGCCATGCTTGCAGTCGGTAAATAGGTCTTCCATCTATCTTTTGAACCACTGGACTAATTTGTATGATTTTGACACATGTTTGTATTTGGAGTATGCTGATTCTGAAAATGTAAGTTTATGTGAATATGATGTATACTTTTAAAGTTATGAATATTGTGCAAAACTGTATTTTCCTGCCTGTGATAATTATGTTAGCCCATTGTGTTCAGTAATTGTATCACAGGCAGAGGGGAGGATTTCTGCTGGTATGAATGGGAGTGTTTGGCTGTGTTGTAATGTATTGATTGGTTTGTTCTTCAAAACCCTGTGGGCAGTTCTATGTTTGTAAAATGGGCATAAAAGCAGAGTGTTTGATTAAAAGCTTCAGTTCTACTTCACCCTCAATTTGGAGTGCCCTCTCTTATTGGGGGAATCTGCTACAAGGAATTGCTATGCTAGTCATACTCCCTTGCTATTTCACTACTAAGCTCTAGTAAGAGCTTGTTCCTGTCTTGCTCTCTGAGTCTTCGGTGGTTATGGTGTCTGCTGGAGTGCTGGAAACCCTCAGGAAGTGCCAGGAGCATCCTTCAACGGAGCTACCCAGTCGGGGTGGCAGGTGATCCGTTACAGTATGCTTGGCCTATCTTCAGTTTGGAGTATTTTTTGCATCCCCCAGTTAATGTTACCATCATGAAAGTATATATTTTTATAAAGTAGACATGCCAAGGTATTGTATATGGGGTGTTTTAACTCCCTTCCCCCAACCATTGTGCTAAGAAAATTTCAGAGAAAGTGCATGGTGGTAATTTTTGAATTCTGCTTTTTGGTTATATGTTACTGCCAGAAAACACCCCAGTTTGTTTTCTACAAAGTCTTCTGAGTACACCTATGCCCCCCATGCAGTGGCGTACATACCAGGGTCGCAGGGGTCGCGGCTGCGACCGGGCCTGGCCCATCAGGGGGCCCGGCCGCCCCTGCGACCCGGTATGTACCCACAGGGCCAGCCTCTTCTCCTGGGGGGCCCAGGGGCCGGCCACCCCAGGGCCCCCCGAGGCTGGCCCTGCTGGCCCTGCTGACCCCGGCGGGCTGGCTATCTGGGTGGCTGGTACGCGAGGGAGCACTCAGTGCTTCCTCTTCAGCTCCCTCGCGCACCGCACTGATACCGGAGCCGGAAGATGATGTCATCCCCACGAGAGAGCTGAAGAGGAAGCACTGAGTGCTCCCTCGCGTACCGGCCACCCAGACAGCCAGCCCGCCGGGGTCAGCAGCACCACTGGACCCCAGGGAATCCCCCCAGCACTCCAAAAGGTAAGGGATTCATTTTTTTTTTTTAAATGTGTGTGTGTTAGTGTGTGTGTGTGTTAGTGTGTGTTAGTGTGTGTGTGTGTGTGCTAGTGTGTGTGTGTGTTAGTGTGTGTTAGTGTGTGTGTGTGTGTGTTAGTGTGTGTGTGTGTTTGTGTGTGTGTGTGTGTGTGTGTGTGTTGTGTGTGTGTGTGTGTGTTTGTGTGTGTATGTTTGTGTGTATGTGTTAGTGTGTATGTGTTAGTGTGTGTGTGTGTGTGTGTTAGTGTATGTGTCAGTGAGTGTGTCTGTTATTGGGTGTGTGTCTGCTAATGAGTGTGTTACTGTGTGTGTCTGTTACTGAGTGTGTTTGATGTCTGTTAGTGAGTGTGTGTTTGTCTGTCAGTGAAAGTGTATGTTTTGTGAGTGTGTATGTATGTCTGTCACTGAGTGTGTCTCTGTTAGTAAATGTGTGTGTCTGTTAGCTAGTGTGTATGCGTCTGTTCGTGAGAGTGTGTGTCTTCAGCATTTACCTTTCTCCAGCGTCAGACTCCCTTGGCGCTGGGGATCCCTCCTCCTCTCAGCTCTGAATGCACATGCGCGGCAAGAGGCGCTCGCGCATTTAAACCGCCCATAGGAAAGCATTACTCAATGCTTTCCTATGGGCGTTCAGCCCTGCAACCCCTGCGACCAGGTGCCCACCGCAATGTGTTGCAGCCCCGACCCGTGCCGAGTAAGCGCGGGGGGGGGGGGCCCCACAGATCAATTTTCGCACCGGGTCATGTGTACGCCACTGCCCCCATGCATTGGTTTGCCACCATTTTACAGTAACAAAATTTGGACTTGCCCATTTTGGATGAATATAGTTTGCTTGCTTTACTAGGCACATGTTGTGTGTGGTGCATTTTTAAATCCCCCAAGCTGAATTTATGGTTTGAAATTATATATTTTTGTAAAGTAAACATCCAAGGTTATAGAAGATGGGGTGTTTTTACTTATTTCCCCCAACCATTTTGCCCCCCAAAATCAAAGAAAGTGTGTTGTGGTAATTTTTGAATTCTGTTTTTTATGCACACATTGCTTTTAGATTTTGGCCAGCCGGTTATATGTTACTGCCGGAAAACCTTTTTTTCTTTTTAAAGAACAAATGTGCAGGTATCAAATGCACCTTTAGCAGCAATCTCTAAACTAACTTCTGCAAAAGGAATCTAACTGGACATCTGGGGGAAGGAAACTGACTAAAATTTGACGCTTTCAAAAAATACAAATTAAAAAAAATGAGGAACAAGTATTATAAAAGGTTTGATTCTGTGTGGTAGAGCTATTTTTAGTTTTACAATCTACCTAACTCTATGCTAAAATGACAAACATACTAAAACTACCTAATACACAGCATTTTAACAAAAAATAACCCTTAAGGGCAAAAATATATAAATACAGACAGTATTAATGCACTGCTGTAACAGGATTTGGCAGGGATGGGGTTAGAAAAGGATACTGACAATTTTTCACAGGTTCTGGAACACTTTTGGCCACAAATTATCACTGATCTCTGTCTCTCTCCCTCTTAAAATGCTACAAAGAAGAGAGGGACAGAGATCACTGTCAAAGTGAGTGTTTGTAACACCCACTTTGACAGCAGCCAATAATGAGCGATCACGTGTCACTCAAACATAATAATTGGCTGTTACTATCTGCCTCACATGCCTGGCAGATAGTAACAGCGGTATTTCGGCAGAAGCGAACTCTGATCGTTCCTGCTGCTCGTTTTAAAGGGACACTAGAGTCACCTGAACAACTTCAACTTAATGAGGTTGTTCAGGTGAGAACTACAGTTCCCTGCAGCCTTTCTCGTGTAAATACTGTATTTTCTCAGAAAATACAGTGTTTACATTCAAAGCTAGGGGCACCTCCAGTTGCAGTCACTCAGACTGCCACCAGAGGGACTTCCAAGTTGATTGGAAGTCCACAGTGCTCTGGCAGCACTGTGCACGAGCATCCTGTCTGCGTGGGAGTGGCTTGAGCGGACAAGCTGAAGACCGGAAACCGAGGAGGAGGGGAGGATTCAAACTGTAGATAAACTTATTTAGTGAGTGTGGATGGGTGACTGAGTGTGAGTGGGTGACTGAGGGTGGGTGGGTGACTGGATGGATATGGATGATGGGGATGGATATGGATATGGATGATGGATATGGATGATGGGGATTAATATGGATGATGGAGAATGATGGGGATGAATATGGATGATATGGATGATGGGGATGACATGGATGATGGGGATGGATATGGATGATGGAGATGGATATGGATGATGGGGATGGATGGATATGGATGGGGATGGATATGGATGATGGATGGATGGATGATGGGGATGGATATGGATGGGGATGAATGGATATGGATGATGGGGATGGATGGATATGGATGGAGAAAGAGTGTGTGTGTATGTCTTAAATTTTTTACTACTTGTGTGTTTGCATAGAAACACTATATTTAGAGAGATCTCTATATATAGTGTTTCTATGCAAACACACAGTTTGGCTGAGGAGGGGGGTGGGTATAGAAAGCGAACTAAGCTGTCAGTCAGATGGCTCAGCTCGAGAATGCGCATTCCGCGCACATGCGCGGTTGAGCGCTGAGCTTCTTCATAGGGCGGCATTGAAGAAGAATGCGATTGGTGCATCGTAAAACCGTGCATGCAAAGGGGGCGTGGCCTAGCAGGGAGCCCGGCACTGGAATGGAGGTAAGTTATATTTTTAAAACTTACTCTGATTTTTGTTTTTTATGGCAAGTTCATATAAGAGCAAGAAAGAAGGCTGGGGGACCTGTCTTTCTTGCTTTTATATGTTGACTATAGTGTCCCTTTAAGTTATGACAGTTCAGGACCATCATCAGTCCTCAAGTGGATGTGTCTGATGACGATCCTGAATCGTCATCGGTCCTCAAGGGGTTAAAAATCATGTAAACAATATGCATTATCATAAACATTAACTATTTTAAACACTTATACAATATGTAGCAAATCTTTAAAATGCATTTAAGCTGGCACCCTGTGTTTGCTAACTTCATCTGAACTCTATTAATCTTGTAGCCTACTTGATCAGAGAGATACATTTAGCTTTATTATTATGATCAGTACTCAGTTACTTACTTTATTATTTGTTTGAGTTTCAGGAATGCTGTAGTGAGATCTTTGGTGGTCAGCAGATTTGGGAACCACGATACTCATCAGTCTTGACACATAATCCACTATACCAAGGTCACGTATGAGATTCTCCCTCTGCCGAAGACCATTCAATCTCTCCATTTCTTCTTGTTCATCAATATCTAGTGGTTTCATGGAATCGCTTTTCATCCAGTGTAGCTTTCAAAGTAAGTTAAGAAAGTTAATTATGGCTCTTTTTCTAATACAGTTTATACATTATGCATATTTTAAATCTATACATCACAGCATAATTATTGAAAAATATAAATCACAAGAGAAGTACAAAAAGAAGCCGTTCCTCTGACATTTATAAACATAGGAGAAACACCTGAACCCACTGGTGCTCAACTCAAAATAAAAAGAGGCATCAACAGGCAAATTGTTTCTTCTCATAAAGGAGGCAGACTTGGGTTTCTGGATGATAGTTACTGAAATGTTAGTACACAAATACAACTGTTTCTAAACTGAAGAGAGAATATATAAAAAGGTACGGTGACGTAATAGTAGCAGAAAAAAGAGAAGGAAGAGAGAAGTAAGTAACTTGAAAGGTGCATGGGATACATGAAATAAAAGCAATCTAATCAGCTTTTAACTGCAAAATAATTGAAATTGTACAACAACATAAGACAGAGGCATAGCCAAATATACTATATAGTGTTTTACTGCCAGTGGCAGAAATATTTTTGGGGTGTCTCACCAGTGAATATTTATAACAAAGCTGTTTCCAGGGATTTGGGGATTGTTAAAGAGGTAACTTAATTTTTCTCCTCTGGCAAAAACACATGATCCTAAGTCAAGGATAGCAGAAGAGAAGCTGCACAGGAGTACAACAAAAATTGGTACCTTGTTAACCAGTCCACTCCAATAGGTGGAAAAGGGAAGTATAGGACGTGATACAAGGCCGTATGGTCAAAGGGTGGTGCCAGCTCCACCGAGGGCTTGTACCCTAATTGATAAATAAACTGAAGAATAATGGAAATGATCTCCAAATAGGGAGATCTAGAGCTGCTGACATAAATGATAAATGGACAACATTGAATAACAATGCATAAATTTAAACTAGCTAGTATAAAGAGCTAATTAGAAGGGAGAAGGGGAAGGAACATTTGATATATATAAGTTCCAAAATACCCTTAAGTGTCCTTGTTTAATAGCTAAGTAGGAAAAAATAATAAACAAAAAACCTTTATTGACTCTTATATTAAAATAGCCAAAAAACCCAAAGGACACTTTGCTGAATCCCCCCCAAAATAATCTAATATGGAGGTAGAGAATATACCGTAGCCTAAATAGTACAATAGTCCAATTTCCTTATATTGTCAATAGGACTAAAAAATAAAGGCAAAATGGTTGGGCTGATACCTTACAAGAAGGCTATAATGAGCAAAGATAACTAATAACTGGAGGTGCAGAAAAAGAAATAAATATGGGTCAATCTGTAAAGCCAGATATTGTGGATGCCCCAGGCAATCTTATCCAGGATGATGATAAAAGCCCCCCCCTCCCCCCCGTCCTAAAGATACTGAACTGCTAAACTGCTAAACAAAGAGAGCTAGATAACTGGTACAATCTATATATCAGCCTAAAGGTAGATCCCTAAACTCCTATAAACACCTTCGTGGGTGTTCTAATCTTGCACTCTCACTATCAGGTATCGCCCACTATCTAATACCTCCAAGCTCTAACTAGCTTAACATAAATAAAAAGCATAATCTACTTGGTCATGACTAGTGCAAATCCCTAAGTGAAAAACTAAAGTGAATCAAGAAAAAACATGCTGATCGCGCGACGCGTGTTTCGGTGTACGAGGACACCTTCGTCAGGGGCTGAAGAAGGTTAAAACTAGCTAGTTTAAATTTATGCACTGTTATTCAATGTTGTCCATTTATGTCAGCAGCTCTAGATCTCCCTATTTGGATATCATTTCCATTATTCTTCAGTTTATTTATCAATTAGGGTACAAGCCCTCGGTGGAGCTGGCACCACCCTTTGACCATACGGCCTTGTATCACGTCCTATACTTCCCTTTTCCACCTATTGGAGTGCACAGTAACCTAGCTATCAGCAAAACATAGCAAATAAATGTCAAACACTCCGCATTACAAATAAAAACTGGAAAGTTTTAAATTGTATTTAGATATATCCCCCTTCACAGTCCCTTAACTATAGGGTTAATTTATCTCAGATATAGTGGCAAAAGGATCCCATGACATAGCTCCACTCCACTGACTGGAAGATCATTTCTGATGATGATCTGCAGGCTGGTAGAATAGTTTTCATAGAGAAGCATTTGAAGACAGGGCTTGTGTGCGACCATCACCACAACATGCTGGCAATACTTCTCAAGCATTGAGTCCAGTGCTTCTGTGTGAGAAATATTGCCTTCTGCTTTGTGCGGGGCACAAAGTGATCAGGAAGAAAAGGTATCTCCCAGCTTTTTGATTGACAACTGGCTCGGAGGGTACAACCTTTTTCTTAAAAATCAGCACATTCATAAAGTGAAAATATGTGACATTCTGTTAACCCCCTAAAAGCACTTCAGCAAACACCCAGAGATTTGCAGTATATGCATGAACCTTATCTTTTATTGATGTTTATGTAGTTGTGCACTTTTTTTTTTAACAATTATTTATACTTTACAAAGTGACGGTCATCTCCACCCTGAAGTATCCTTTTTACAAAATTATTGTATTATTTTGGAGCAATGTATTTGCAACTTCACAAATCTATTTTGCTCAGTTACCCATGCGTTTTAAAAAGAATCCCTTACAAAAAACAAATACCTTTTGTTCTGAATTTCTGGAGCTGTTAGACACAGGTCGGGTTGATGGCCTCCTTGTTACTGTGCACTTCATAGGCTTTTCACCTGCTGACTCTCCTTGCAGATGGTCCTTATTCTCTTTTCTGTTCTTTCTAAAAAGCATTCCCTTCTGCTCTTGTTTCAGACGAAGCTCCTCGAGTTGCTGCCTGAAATGAAAAAGAAAATACGGAAATCGTAAGTTAAGAAGGTTAATGAAAACCAAGACTACCAGGAATATTCACTAAATCATAAATTGTAATAAAATTGCACAGTGTTGCTTATTTTATGCCCAAATACCCCAAAAAATTCTACAAGTGAACTATATTTTCAGCTGAGCTATTTTTGCACTTTCAAGTGAATTCCCAAGTGAATTTAGACAGTTCGTAGTTGAGTGAGTAACCCTATAAGTACCCTTTACAATCTGATATTGGTTGAGATAACTGACAGGTGCTTAATGAACTGTATGGAAGTGAGCACTGAAATATATCACTAGTTCAGGGTAGGGATAGAAAGAAACTTTATTGATAATCACAACAGCGATACTGAAAATATGCTTATGGCCCATATAGTCACCCAGACCATTTCATCTGAATTAAGTGGTCTATGTGCACTCTCCCTATCCTCTTAACCCTGCAATTTTGCAGTGTTTTAGAATGTGCAATGTTTACATTACAACGTTAAGTCCACCTCAAGTGTCTGTCGGTATGAGAGCCACTAGAGGCACTTCTGTGGCACTGACTGAGTAAACCTCACATGACGCAAAAGCCCCATAGGAAAGCAATGATTGAATGCTTTTCTATGGCAAAGTTTGAATGAGCAAGTGACACACCCTGTGCATGTACATTAGGTCCCCATTGCTCCTCTATGGTGAGCACTGGATTGGACATCAGCTGAGGAACTAAGCCTGCTCTGTGACATTGAGGGAGGAGGTTATAAGCAGCACTAAGGGAGCCTTGGCGCTGCAAATATGTAAGTAAAATAAAAAAAATAAAAAATCGGAATTTTAATGTACAGAGTGGGGGACATGATAAAGAGTAGGAAAAGGGGCACTATAGTGTTAAGGATACAGATTTGTACTCCTAACACAATAGAATTACTTCAAGAAAAATAATAATATATTGTAATCCTAAAAAATTTCATATATATTATCTTCTGTGGAAATCTCAGGAAATCAAAAAACATTCACAAGTAATGTTCCACAAGTAAGTGAGTGGGGTGGACGTCCACTGAGTAATGTTTTACATGGATTTTCAGTGTAATTTCTATCATTGAGGAGGGAGGACAATATTGTGGGGCAAAGTTAATTTCAGCATCTTTTTTGGGGTAAAAGACCTGTTAGCAGACCAATGTCTGTATGTATTTGTGCATTTGTACCTGGCACACTCTTCTCTGGCTTTTGAAGCAGCTGTTTCCTGGAACAAAGACCCACTGTGTCTGAAGTACTTATCATATTCCTCTCCATTGGCTCTGGGGAAAATGCGACGATAGCCTCCCAAGTGGTTGGCTTCATACTTTTCCACTTGCTCCAACCAAGCAGCCTGGGTGCTTTCCAACTGCTCACGCCTATGTTTACAAGACATGTATAAGATTAAATGAGCAGGTTTGGTTCCTCCATTAGTTTTAAAACAAGCCATATGTACCAGCCAATAATTAATTGATTAAAATGTCCCCTTGTTTACTCGTTCGGCAATGTTTACAATAGTGAGCTTCCTCAATTATTCATCCCCATCCAAGCACTTGATATTTGTTTTGTTTCAACAAAAATAGTTGGCACTGAAAAAGCATTCTCCAAATAGACCATATAAACAGTTTAAAAGAAGTTATACAGAAGCTATACAAGATAAGACAAATCACAAAAGAAAAGAAGGAAAATGCCTCCAAACGTTTTTCGGACTTTACATATGTTTTTACCATTTTTTCTTGAGTGGCTGTCTATTATAGGACAAGTTTAAGCAACAGAATTTTTTCAATAATGTATATTATTTTAATCTTGGAATTATTTGTTAGCCCGATTTACTTTTTATGCTCACCATCTTTTTCCCAATTTCCAGTTTTCTCCCATTCAGGACTACTCTTCCCCTCAGTCTCACCTAATCCATATGACTCACTTGATAACATATATTTGAGATCACTTGTGCAGCTTATTTTGTTTTTCTTTCTTTCTTTCTTTCTTTTTCCAGTATGTGGAACCCCTTCATTCACAGTGATCTAGTTGAAAGTGATCCATTGATGCAACATTTCCTATGCTTGTTGTCTAGGCCCCAAACACGGTGGTAAACAAGAAGTAACCTTTCCCTCTGTTACTAGGTCACAGACATTTGTACGACTGAAGACTCGGATATCTCATCTTTGGTAGTTTAACCCAATTAAGAGAGTGGATGTAGAGGAGGAATTATTTCCAGACATGCTATAATTGCCAATTGCAACCATGGGCCACAGCTGACGAAGTATCATGATGCTGGGGTGCTAGACTCTACCCCAGGAATGTGACTTGGTCCTTGACTTGTTGGGCTCTGCCTATTCAGCACCATGTCCAACCCCTTAACCAATGTAAGGCCATGCTTTGTGCAACATCATAAACTCATACATTTATTTGGGAAACAACCACTTTAAAGAGTTTCAACACCAACACCAGATGCCCTTACTCAATGACATCCCTAAAAGACTGACGGTCTGTCTTTTAAAAACTTAGGAGTTAACAACCACTTGGTGATTGAGTAAGTCATTTGTATTTATTATTTCCGCTATATATATATATTCTGTGCATTGCAGTGTTAGCTTTTAAAAGACTTTGGGTAAGGAGTCAAAATGTTGTTGCTTGTATAGTACATAATACTCCATTAAAACTGCCTAGTGAGTAACCCCACACACAACATAAACCTGAGTGCCTGGAACATTTCTCTTTTCAACCACTAGGTGACGTCAGAAAGCCTGTTAGAACTGACTTAGCATGTTTGAGAGGTCTATACCTAGAAAATGGGACAAATGCCACCAAACCCTGACATGATGCTTAGCGTGTCCGGTAATGATATATGATCTTTTTTTTATCCACTGTACATTTTTTTCTAATTACCATAAATATCAACTGACTGCCTATCCTTTTTTTATATCTGCTGTTACCATAGTCTTCATGCTTCAAAGCAAGGCTTTCAAACTGATCCACACCCAACAGTCATCCTCTCTCTAAAATATTTCTTAAGTACATTTTTATTGGTGCCAGTTGACTGCATCAGTTATCAGGAGACATCCCCTAATATATTCCTACTCTTGTGTTGGTGGCACTTGTGTTAGAGTAGTGATAGGTTCCCCCTTCCCCGTTTGTCACTCCTAAGTTTAAGTCAGTAATGGAGGGGTGCAGGAGAGCAGAATTAAAAAGTAGAAACTGACTAAAGAGGAGGGGAATAACAAATGGAAACGAAACGAGGAAGAGATAGAAAGAATAAATAAATAAGGCCCAATGAACGAGAAAGGGAAAATACAAAGTTGAAGATAGATAGAGGAAAGAAGCAGAATTAAAAGATAAGGATTACATTAAAAAGGAGAGCGACTGTGGAGAAAGTGGAGGGAACTTGGAAGAGTAGAGAAGGAGATGGAATAAGACAGGGAGATGGAGGGCACATAAAATGGATATAGAATAGTAAGGGAGTTGAAATAAAAAGTGGGTCTAAAAAAACTAGTGGAGTGAGAACTGTTAGAGGAAGAGAGAATGGAATGATAAGATGGGACATTTGGAATAAGGAACCAGATGAAAGAGTGGAGTTATATATGCATCTAATATGACGTAATATATATATATATAATCTGTGAACTGAACGATGAAGACTGAGATCAAACCTCATTTCCTTAGGTGGGTTCTTCTGGAGTAAACGTTCTTTGACTCTGCGTTTCTCTTCCTCAATAACTTTCCGTTTGTCACAGGCATTCAAGTTGATCAAATTAAGGGTATCTTGCAAAAGTGCATCTTTGACTTCTCGATCTAAGTGTGAGTCTGTAGTAAAACTTGGGGAGTGATTGACCTATGCAAGCAGAAAAATAAAGAAACAACCGGACTCAGATCTTATCAGAGGACCCTTGAAGAACCCCCATTATACATACATGGGAACTTTTCAAGTTTCACCAAGAGTCTCAAGGATTTTCAATCGATTGCTGGGAGTGCTTGTGATACAACTTGTTTCTATTATTATGCGATGCATTGTGCAGCTCTGCTCATAAACCCAAATAGGGTGGCTAGGCCCACTTGTGACCATTTACATTTTCCCAAGGCTGTAAACATTTTGTAGTTAGTATCGTAAGAGATACAAGTAGACTGGAAATAGCTGATTCACAGTTTCTCATATTATACAGTTATCATATTAAGGTGATTTGTCTAGGTCTTGTTTTAAAAAAAACTTTAAAAAAAACTGAAAAAGTAAAAAACTGAACAAAGCTCCCATTTTGCTCTGTAATTGCAATATACACTAAATGCAATTCAGGGGTTTGAGGACTTACGCAGTATATTTTCCTATAGTGAAGAGCAATTTCATGTCTGCTAACAAATATTCAGTAAAATAACTTGAATGTCATACTTTGCATAATTATCAAATAGCTAATATTTAATCGATTGTCTTCAACCTGGCACAACTGGAGATTTCTGTTTGCCTACGTTTTGCAAGTGAAACTGAACAAGTCCGCAATACCTGTCCAGTGGCAAACAGTTTTGACATAACTACAAGAAAAGACAAATGGTTCCCTCATACCACCTGAAACAATGGGGATGTAATGCTATGGCTTCACCAGCTCCATCACACCACTGGTGGAAGGACAGATACTACTTTAACTTATCTTTAAAGGTGAAATTAAAGCAAAAGTGAGTTAATCATGTCTCCCATCTCAGTATGTGTTATTGTAGCATTTACTGGAGTAAATACTTTCACATTCAACGCCAACGTATTATGCCTTAGGTGTACTCATATGAATATATTCCTGCAGTAGTGCCATATGTGTGTACAGGATTGCAGGGATTCATTTCGATTACACGCCATTCTTTGCCCTGATTGTATCTAGACAGCCAGTCAGGGGATGTACATTTTGACCAAATAAATAGTAGAAACCATAGCTTTATTGGCTTGTACAAAACTCTCACTAGTGACAGTTCCACTTTAAATCCAAATCAACCATATTCTGAATATTGTCATTTCATTGTACGTACCTCTAGTAGCCATGGTTTTAACTTTTTATCCAGAAGGATGTCAAATCCCAGAATTTCAAAGCAGGCACTGCCCGCAACATGGTTTGGGAAGCAAGTTCGATAGTTGTGCTTCAAAATTGGGTGGGCGGAAACAAGAGTCTTAATGATAACATCTTCAATATCTCCCCAAAGTTTGCTCGTGTCATAACTGTTTTTTTCCAACCAGCTGTTTAGTGTTGACAGTTTTCTATTCAGATGACAAAATAAAATATATTCAAGTTACAAAACATAATAAAGTAACATTAATGGGGTTAGCTATTAAAGTGAGAATTTAGAGGGAATTCACATTTAAGGTTAAAATAGCTAAACTAGAAACATTATCCAAGTCAGCTATGCTTTAATTTTGGCTACTCTGGACTGAAATTTGAAACTCACTTGTAATCCTCACTTTGGTAAATAATCTTGTAAACTTTCATACCAAGCAAAAATTAAAATAGTATTAAAAAAATGTTTTTTAAGCAGCATAAAATGGATGTATATCTTTAGAAAAACACATTGACCTATGGGGTAGACAGGAGGTATGCAGTGACATTTGCAATGGGCCATTTTGTGCAGTGAAGTTCTCTCAATGTTACTGCAGTGCTATGTTTTAAAAGTGTCTCACTGCGGGTAATAGTAACCAAATACTGGCAACCTAAGTAGGCTGAATTGTTTATACTGAAGCATGTAGTCTCCTGTGCATAGGCTGAAATAGCAAACATAAGTGGTGCATGCCAAGGGCAATTGTTTTGAAACTTACATACAGAGATTATACCCATTCACTGCAGGAGATATTACTCCATCTCCAGCAGCATCATAGGGGTGTCATCAACTAGCCCGGAACTAGAGCTTTGGGCTGGCAAATATCAATTATGTGCAACGTTTTGAGCACAGAATGTCAGTCATTGGCTTAGAGCTGTCAGCTGACACTCTCAACCATTGAATGTCCACAGACATGAATTCCAGCTTCTGCAGTGGGATCCAGGTAAGGGGACAAATGGTTTGCACCATTACTGGGTAACTAAGCTATGTTAACCCTGGCATCCTAACCACTACAGTGATTATGATGCTTGATGTAATCCACTAAGAAAGTAAAATGAAATAATTTACTTACTACATAAAAGAGAAATGCATTAAAAAAATATCAACCTAATTTTAATCGGTTATAGAAACCTACCTTTTACTTCCCGTTATATCATCTCTGATAAAGTTGTCATTGTTTTTGTTGATTGCGTAATTGGTGAGATGCATACAGACATCATCCTGGGGGAAAAAAATATATAATTTATTTCGCATGGTTAACACTTTACATCCAATGAATTTACCTAGAAGGTCATATTGAATCAGGTACAATGCCAGTGGCCAGCTCAGTGACTGACCGTTATGACAGACAAAGTGAGTTTTCCCCAAGAAGAGCTACTTGTAAGAACTACAAAAGATCTGGCCAGGTCCTTAGTTCAGAGGGACTTCAATAAATAGAGCCATCAAGTTGGATAAAAGATTATTATTTTTTTTTTTTTACTAAGCTGATAATTCTTTGGAGAAGCTGCGTGATTAACCATACTGCCAACACCACGGCTGCCATAAGAAATTATGGGGCCCCTGACAAAGCACAAGGTCTGGGCCCTCCCACATCCTACCTAGTCCGCTGCCAATGATGCAGGACTGAATGTGGTGTGTATAGTGGAAGTTAATTAGAATGTGTGTAATGGATGTAGTGTTTGTGTGTATTAGATACTGTTTGTGCAGTGAATGCAGAGTGTGTGTTTGTGTAGCAGATGCAGTGTGTATAGTGAACGCAGAGTGTGATTGAGTAGTGGATGTAGTGTGTGTACAGTGATGTGTGTTTTTGTGTGTACTAGATGCAATGTGTTTAGTGGATGCAGTGTCTGTAGTGTGTGCATTAGACGCAGTGTCTCTGTATAGTGAATGCAGAGTGTTTCAATGTGTGGTGGATGTAGTGTGTGTACTGTGAATACAGGATGTTTGTGTAGTGGATGCTGTGTATATAGTTCATGCAGCGTGTATGTTAGTGTAGTGAATGTAGAGTGTGTGCATGTGTGTAGTGAATGCAGAGTGTGTTAGTATGTAGAGAATGCAGAGTGTGTGTCAGTGTAATGAATGGAGTGTGTTAGTGTGTAGTGAATGCAGAGTGTTAATGTGTAGGGAATGCAGAGAGTGTGTTAGTGTGTAGCAGATGCAGAGTGTGTGTTAGTGTAGTGAATGCAGAGTGTGTGTCAGTGTAGTGGATGTAGTGAGTGTGTTAATGTGTAGCGAATGCAGAGTGTGTGTCAGTGTAGTGGATGCAATGAGTGTGTTAATGTGTAGTGAATGCAGAGTGTGTGTTAATGTGTAGTAAATGCAGAGTGTGTGTTGTACTAGTGTATGCAGAGTGTGTGTCAGGGTAGTGTATGCAGTGTGTGTGTTGTATTAGTGTATGCAGTGTGTGTGATGTATTAGTGTATGTAGCGTGTGTGTTGTATTAGTGTATGTAGAGTGTGTGTTGTATTAGGATATGGAGAGTGTGTGTTGTATTAGGGTATGCAGTGTGTGTGTTGTATTAGGGTATGCAGAATGTGTGTTGTATTAGTGTATGCAGAGTGTGTGTAAATGTGCAAACTAGGGCCTGTAATCTAGGGGAGTGGGGGAGAGGAAGGGGCATTTTTACATTAATTTTATATTAAATGCTTCTTACCTGTGTCCAGGGAGGGGGGAGATTCCATTCCCTGGTGGTCCGGTTACTGTTAGAATTATTGGAAGAGTGGACCGGAATATGCAGAAGCAGTGTGCTGGGCCCCCTCTGCATTGTGTGCTGGGCCCCCTTCCTATAGATGCTGGCGTCTTCTCACTGTGATTTTCACAGTGAGAAGCACGCAAGCGCCTCTAGTGGCTGTCAATGAGACAGCCACTAGAAGCTCTAGAGGCTGGATTAACCCTCAGTGTAAACATAGCAGTTTCTCTGAAACTGCTATGTTTATAAAAAAAATGGGTTAACCCTAGCTGGACCAGGCACCCAGACCACTTCATTAAGCTGAAGTGGTCTGGGTGCCTAGAGTGGTCCTTTAAGGCATGGTTATTCACTGAACTCCAAATTGCAATGAATTGAAATCTGAATGACAAACTTGAAGATAAAATAGTTGATTAGAAAAACATCTCCAACTGTAGATGGAGCTTGGCTATTTTAGTGTTCATTTTGTAATTCGGGTATTCATTTATTACACTTCAGAGTGTAGTGTCTGCTATCTGAAACATTTTTCCAAGTATCAATTCAAAAGATATTCTGAAATATAACAGATAAATGCATTATACCTTTAGAGGGACACTATATTCACCAAAACAACACTAGGTTATTGAACCAGTTTTTGTGTATAGATCATGCCCTGAAGTCTCACTGCTCATTTCCCTGCCATTTAGGAGTTAAATTAGAGTTCCCACTCTTACTCCCTCCTCTGCTTCCTCATGCTCGGGCTCTTTGTATGCTGGGAGGAGTGACAGGGGCAGTCACTTCCTCCCAGCATGTGATCTCATCACAGGGGGCCCGGTCGCAGCGCTGACCGGGCCCCCTGATCCATCTCCCTCGGGTGGTCCTAACAGCATGGGCCACCCGATGGACCCCTTGAACGGTGGCCCTGATGGTTTGTCGCGCGGGCCAGGGCTGCAAAACATGGTGGCTGGTACTCGGTCGCAGGAGTCCGCAGGGCGGCCGGGCCCCCTGGAGTGACGAGCCCGGTCGCAGCTGCGGCCCCTATATATACGCCACTGGGCAGACACACACACACACACAGAGAAACTCACTCACTGACAGACACACACACACATACACTCACTCACTGACAGACACACACACTCACTGACATACATACACTCAGTGACAGACACACACACACACACACACACACTCACTGATATACATTCACTCACTCACTGACAGACACACACACTGACAGTCAAACACTCACACACACACACACACACACATACAGACAGACACTCATTGACATACACTCACTCACTGACACACACACACATACACACACACTGACATACATACATACTCACTGACAGACACACACACACACACACACACAAACAGTCACTCACTGACAGACAAACACACAGGCAGACACTCACTGACATACATACACTCACTCACTGACAGACACACACACAGGTAGACACTTACTGACAGTCAGACACTCACCTCCCTGGGGTACATAAGGCTATCCTAACTATAAGATAAGGCCAAGAAGTAATTAAAGTATTTAGAAAATTGGGCAGACTAGATGGGCCGAATGGTTCTTATCTGCCCTCACATTCTATGTTTCTATGTACAGTGTGGGGCAGCTCCTCACTCCTCCAGCGCGCTGTTTAATATGCTGAGGCCGGAATGATGTAATATTCTGGCTCCCGGCATCACAGAGGGCGCAAGAGGGAGGAGTGAGAGGCTGCAAGAACAGGCCTGGCTTGTCCTTCCACCTCTCATCCGGACGGTCATTGGGATTTGTTGGCAGAGCAGGCACCTGCCATCAAGGTAAGCAGGTGCCTGCTCTGCCTTACCTAGCACAGCTTCGGGGGCGCCCTAAGGTGGCCAACTCCTGGCCCCCTGTAACATGGCTCCTCTTGGTGCCCCCACCTTCGAGCACCTTGACGATCGGCCGGCGCTGGTTGGCGGCTCAAGAGCCATCCGCCCAGTGCTGCGGCACCAGACAGGGGAGGTAACCCACCAGGAGATACCATGGCAGGCGTCCCCAGCAGGCCGGTGCCCTAGGCGAATGCCTAGTTCGCCTAACTGTTGCGCCGGCCCTGATTTTAGTAACAATGCATAGTGAAAAGAAGCATGATTTGCTTCATCAAAGTAGAATAAAATTAAAAAAAATATTGAATGTTTTCATCTTGGAATAAAAATGTGGTTAAAGGAACAGTTTTGGTTTCCATAAAATATATTTACCAGGTTATTGTTGCTGGGATCTGTATAATTCATGGTTGCAAAACGGGCCAGGCCCTCATTGTAGATAAAAATCCGCAGAGGTTCACAAGATGTGACAAGGACATATATTCTCAAATCAAACTTATATCCATCTATGAGGAATGGCTGTAATTAAATCAAATATAAATTAGCAGTATATTATAAAATCATGCAGTATATTATAAAATCCCCAAATGATTACTTAAAGAACCACTATAGTGCCAGGAAAACATACTCGTTTTCCTGGCACTATAGTGCCCTGAGGGCGCCTCCACCATCAGGGCCCCCCTTCCGCCGGGCTCTAGGGTGAGGAAGTGGTTAAAATCTTACCTTTTTCTAGCGCCGGGCTCCCTCGGCGCTGGGGAATCTCCTCCTTCTTCTGCCGTTATCGGCTGAATGCGCATGCGTGGCAAGAGCTGTGCGCGCATTCAGCCAGTCTCATGGGAAAGCATTCTCAATGCTTTCCTATGGACGCTGGCGTCTTCTCACTGTGAAAATTCTCTGCTGTAAAAAAATGTTTACAGCAGAAAAGGTTAATCCTAGAGGGACCTGGCACCCAGACCACTTCATTAAGCTGAAGTGGTCTGGGTGCCTATAGTGGTCCTTTAAACATATTGCAATATTAATTAATTATACTGTGTCATTTGTTGAAGCAAATCAAATTCCACATAGACTGCAAAACTGGATAAAGCGTACTCCAGAACTTTTATGTGTACCTTAGCATTCAAAATCATAGTAACTTGAAACCCAAATTCTAAAATTCAGGTCAATATATCTGATTTGCAAACATTTCCATCTTGGCTATTTTAGCCTAACTTTTGCAATATGGTTTTCATTCACTACGATTGGTTGTTTAGTGAATAAACTCTTCAATGTAAAAATCCACTTTGATTCTGATCCTCAAGGAATAGGTTTGAACAGTTCTGGTTCGTATATTCTCAAAGATTTTATTTTAAATCTCCATAACGGAGGTTTGAAAAGAAAAAGCCTTTCTCTTGGTAAATGTATAGCAATTGGTGTAGTAATAAAATAAGACACTAATAGGCAAAGCTGTGATTGCTTTCTCATTAATGCGCAAAAATGAACCCGTCTGGGGATATTTACACTTAGTAATCATTACAAAAGTAAATCTCAATGGTTGCTAAGTAGACCATAGCAGTATAGTTTTGGAAATAGGAAAGATGCCTCTTGAGGTAATGATTAAACATACTCTCTCCAAACTCTTTCAATCTGTTACCTTAGAAACGTACTGTTGACAGATCATGTGATCACCATGTTTAATGTCTTTCAGATTGCGGGATAAAAAAATCCCACGACCTTGGCAGCCACTGTCAGGCTTGCAAATATAGGTCTTGTTTTTCTTTGTGCGGCAGTAGGCCTGCAAGTCACCGAAACTGTGGAACAAAAAAAATGGGTTTTAGAAGTAACAATTACAAAAATACATAATCACTTGAATGAAAAAATGCAAAGCTTTCTAGGAGTGACAGCTCGTGGTAGACGGAGTATCAAATGTCACCTATCCATGGTACAGATACCATGATCACTCTACATTACTAACATTCAATTCATAGTTATCACTTTTAGACAAACCTGTCTTCCTAACACTATAGTTTCCTCTGCCTCCCCCTCCCTGCTGGCCCCTGGCCAATAGAGGTTAAAAATCCTTTAGTCACTTACCCGATTACCCGATTGTCCCTTGGCGCTGGGTCAGTGCTCTGCATCCTCTGACATCATCTGATGGGGGGGCAAATGCTCAAGAGCGGTGATCGCCACAAGAGCACTAGGCCCTCCCCATAGGAAAGCATTGACTCAATGCTTTTCTTATGGGGATTTAACTGACAATGGTTGTTCTCATGCACAGCGTGAGTACGTCCAGCATCAGTTGGGTGACCTAAAGTCCGGTAAAATCCTTAAGGCGCCTCTATGGCTGTCTACCACAGGCTGTCTTAGTGCTGCAATGTGAACACTGCAATTTCTCTAAAACTGCTATGTTTCACATTGCAGGACTAAGGGCAATAGGGAAACTGCACGTAGACCACTTCAATGAGCTGAAGTGGTCTGGGTGACTATAGTGTCCCTTTAAGGATAATGAATCAAGGTAAGAAAAATGTCCAGGCACTAAAGAGCTTAATAAGGCCATTTATTAGGAACAAAATTAATCCAGCAACGTTTCAACTTTGTATTTTTCTTACACTATAGAATCCATTTAATCTGATATGTTATCCTACAATTATGCGCTATCATTCAATCCCTTGTTTCAAACAATGCTTGTACTATTTTGTAACGAGAATACCTTGGTAGAGAAAGGGTTAATATTAAGGCATTTCCTATACATTATTTCACACATCATTTATAAGAGAATGTGAGTTACCCAATAGAAGTCGCAAACATTTCATGGACCAGAACAGGGCTGTTGGGCTTCTGATAAGAATGGAAAATAGCATAACTCAAGTGCCACTTAAACACTCTTTCCTACTCTGTGTATTATCACATTTATATTGTGCCAACATTTTCTGCAGCACTCTACAATTATACAGGGGGAGAGGGATGGGAATGGGTGGAGGGGAGTTATAAAACAAGAAATCAACAGACAAAAATAAAGTTGACAGAGACAAGGAGTATTTAGTGGCAGCTAGAGCGTTGATCTGTGGATTAGTCAATAACCCTTTAGTGTAATGAATTTTTTATGCAGTGTGCATTCACTGAGCCTTCATTAATATGGATTAAAACATAGAGCTATTTTTCACATATCTCAATGCAAATACAGAGGTATAAATGTACCACTGGCATGTTTCACTTCTTATATTGGTTTTTCAACTTTGGCTACATGAAAGATCTGTCAGATAATCATAGTCTTTGATTAAAAGACTCACTCAGCAGGCAAGCACCATGTCCGTGGAAAGATATTGTACTCTTTAGGGAAAAGCTTTAAGAGTCGGTTCATATTCCTTGCCAGTAAGTCCTTCCTGCATATCTCGCTCATTCCTGGAAAGTGGTTTATTTTCTGTTAAATGGGATATATAAGAGACATAGCAACTATCAGAAAAGCTCTTCAAATGTTAATTTCAATGAGTCAGTAATGTAACTAGTATTAGATGTTAGACAAATGTACATTAGGTTTTACATTACTCTGCTGCTTAAACAGCACTGTAGACTGCGTAGGTTGTCCCAACACTCTTGCTTTGAAAATATGCTATAAATGTCCTAACTCATGGCTAATACCTGAATGTATCTTCTGGATATTCACCAAAGCAGTTTAATGAGGAATAATGATACATATATGACGCAGAATATGCCATCTAGATTTGAAGGAATTTACTCTGCTAACATAAATATCCCTGCAAAAGTCTGGATACAAAATATAAGAATTTGGATAATTACTATCCCGTTTGGACATATTCCAGTGAATTCAGACGTAGTCTTGCACATAGCTGGAAGATCACACATTTTGTGCATTGCTTATGGTTTTTTTTGCCTCTAAATTGCCCAGAATTCTTTTCTGCTCAGTGACCTTCCCACCTCTATAAGAAAATAGTTTTTCGAGCCAAAGGACCTGAAATCTTTTCATATCCATTACACGTTCCAGTGACACAGAGCAGTCTGTCCAAAAAACGGTCCATTCTTCGTCATCTCCAACCTCCTTGAATCCACACTTACGAACAGCTCGACGCACTGAAATACAAGTGATGGAATGAGTAGAATATTTTATTGATTTCCATGGTGACTGCTCCACTTTCAGACCTTGCACAAGTTGTCTATTAGTAACAATTTTGTAAAAACAACCACTTTATGTCAGGTGTAAACAAATGACTTGCTGTAGCAGTCTACAGCATCTATGCACATTTTCCAGATACCTGGCTCTGGGATGGGGAATTCCTATCACCCGATATCCGGGACACGGGGATTTTAGCCCTGCTGCATGGCTGTTAATGCATTGTTTGACACTCATGATATTCTGGCTGAGTATGATGGGAGTCATAAATCGGCCTTTTAAGATGGAGCATATAATTATATCACTAAAACTGTGCTTACCACTCTCATACTTGCAGTTTACTAAGTTGATACCAATGGACCTAAAAAAAAGAAATAAAAAGGTGCATTAATGTAGCCTTGCTGCTTCACTGCCATACATGTTACATCATCATAATGGTGAGTTTGTCATTTATAAAATTAGGTAAATACAATATATACCCTGCACCTGTAACAGGGGAATTTGGAAGGTGCAAGAAAAAAAACCAAAAAACTATATTCTAAATGAATAAATATAAAAAATAAGTTAAAAGCAGTACACTATGGACTTTGAAACAGAGCGTACCATAATGCAAAATGCAGTAGAAAGTTAGTACAAATGCATTTCAACATATTGTTTAACTCATTGTTAAATGCATTTGTATTAATGTTCAACTGCATTTTGCATAAGAAAGAAACAATCAGGGTTATTCACTAACATGAGAATTAAAAGTGAATTTAAAAGTTATGGCAAAATAACCAAACTGGAAAAATTCTCCAAGTTGGCTATCCTGCCAGTTTCGCTACCTTGGCGTCAAATTTGAAATTCACTTTAAATTCTCACTTTAGTGAATAACCTTGAATGATTTAATAAAGATAATGTTGCTGATTGTATGATAAAACAATACGGTAAAAGACCTGCGTTTTTTCTTCTTTTTCTTTTTGGGTGGATCTACTCCTGGATCTGCTACTGGTGTGTTCAAATCCAAGTTATTTTCTTTCAGTATACCATCCAGTTCAACAAGACCCTCATTTTCTGGAAGATCTAGAGGTTCTTGTCCAAGGCCCACAGTGTCTGATTGAGGATCTTGCATCTTTATGAACTTTATTTCGAGGTTTTCATTATCGGTATCAGAGTCACCTGAGAGAGCTTCTTCGTCTCCTTCGTCATCATCCCCAGATTCAGCGTCAGATTCATTGCAAGCTTCTGAGAGGACCTTCATTTTACTAAGTAAAACTAACGCTGAAATACCAGAATGCAGAATCAAAATATATCATATATGAAAACTACCGCGCTCCAAAAGCTGAGCAAATTGTGTTAATATGTTTAACATATATTTTCATTTTATAAACATTTAAATCGTTGCCATCTAACCCTTGTATTTTAAATGCCAAAGTCCCTGTAGTGACAAAGACATGTTGCTGCTTGCATAAAAACACTGCAAGTTGTTTTGCTGTGAACAATAGGACTGTTTATAGCACCATAACACCAATCGAGTACAACTAGGGATTAGGGGAAATTAGGGTAAACCTAATGTTGGGGGTTAGGATTAGGGGGATGAAGTTTAAGGACAATTTAGAATTGAGAGAATTTAAGACCAAGGGGATGATTAGGGCTCCTTACCTTCAAGATGGTGTTGACTGCAACCAGGGCCGGCCTTAGGCAATTAGGCGCCCTGTGTGAAAAGTCTACACGGCGACCCCCCACCAAGTTGCCTGTATACAGTCACACACACAGGCACCAGGGACGTGTGTATCACGAGGCAAACAAGGCATCTGCCTTGGGCGGCACTTTGCAGGGGGTGGCAAAAAAAGCTGCCCCCAAAAGCCCAGGCGTCCTGGGGGGCTCAAGAGCTGGCCAGCTGGCCACTTTTGAGTCCCCCCGCTGGAGACTGGCATACTCACCTGAGCTCTTCCTGCTCAGCTCCCTCCGCGCAGCTTAATGAAGCCGGAATATGACATCAGTCCGGCTCCCGGCATCACTAAGCGCCGCCTACTCAGCCTATGCGCTCCGTGCCTGCCTGCCTGCCCGCCCAGCAGCCACACTGGACTGCAGGTAAGAAATCAACTCCAGCTCTCCCAGGGAGGCTAGGTGGATTTTAAATAAAATTTAAAAAAAATATTCGTTTCTGATTGTTGGCGGAAATGTCTGTGTGTGTGTGTCTGTGAGTGAATGTGTGTGTGTCTGGAGGTGTATGTGTGTATGTGTCTGTAAGTGTTTATGTGTGTGTGTCTAAGTAAGTGTGTGTGTGTAAGTGTTTATCTGTGTGTCTGTGAGTGAATGTGTGTGTTGGTCAGTGGGGGCGTGCGTCTGTGAGTGAGTGCGTGCGTCTGTCAGTGAGAGTGTGTGTCTGTCAGTGTGTGTCATTGTTTGTCAGTGTATATGACAGTGTGTGTCTGTCAGTGAGTGTGCGTCTGTCAGTCAAAGTGCGGCCTTGACAGAAAGGGGTGGGGGAAATTTAAACTCGGTTACAGGCATGTACACACACACACACATACTCAGTTAAAGGCAGTCAGACATACAGGCACAGGCACACACAACGTCACACACACACACACACAGATAGACAGTCACACACAGGCAGGCAGTCACACAGACAGACAGTCACACACACAAACAGGCACACACACACACTTACCTCTTTCCAGTGGAAGGAGTTGGTTGATGGGGAAGCAGGGACTCCTTATGTCTTCCTGTGCAGCAGTTACCAGGGGCTTCGGGAAGGTATTAGCCCCGCCCCCGCTTCGCAAAAAGCCCCGCCCCCGCCGCTCGTTAAGCCCCGCCCCCGCGGCCTCGATATACATATGGATATATATATATTATTTTTTTTATAGAGCCGGGTGGAGAATAATTACTCCAACACCCGGGTACCTGTTTAGCTCCCCCGCACTCCGGCCATGTGCGAGCTGTGTCGGCTATTGCATACGGGGTACATAGTGCTGATGTCCGTATTGAGGTGACATGAAAGCAACATTATGTTAAAAATGTATAAACCCCATCACCCATTAAACTAAAAATGTCACAAGTGTCAGCAGTTATTCCCATTTTAAAACATCTGCTATCATCCTTCATTGGCTAAATACTGAGTTTTGGTAAAATAATGTCTTTTTACGAATTCTGTTAGAAGTGCATTGGGAAAAAAAAAATCTATATACATTTATATTCCATTATTTTTAAATGATGAATTCATAAATATAAATACAGTGTTTAACTTTCACTAGCTTTCATGTCATTTGCACACCTTTCACATGGAGATTATATTTTTAAATGTAATTGTTTTATTTGTTGATTTGTTATGCATAGATGGGAGAAAATTAAATCAAAGCACAGAGGTGAAGATTCATAGAGATGGGGTTTGATAAAGTGTAAGCACAGACTGTCCCAGCAGCATACCTTATATTGTAAAGGAAACTCTCTGACTGTCTCTGTACAGGAGGGCTGGCTCTCTATGGCGTTGCTATGGACGCTTCCCCCTGCTGCCGGTGTTCTGGATTTCCAGGGATGAGGGGTAACATGTAAACCCATGCCCCCCATGTGGGGTATAGACAATGCCTCCTTACTGTCCCCTGGCAGACAGAGCTGCCCCAGCCTCCTCCCTGATAACACACACTTCAGGAAACTTGATACAACAATTCACCGGTTACCCTGGAAACCGAGCATGGCCATTCCCGGCCAGAGTGCGGGTGGGGCTGAGGGCGTGCATGCAGACTAGGGGGCACATTCCCTTATTTAACCCCTCACTGGCGGGCAGTTTAGTAGTATGACCTAAGTAAGGGGAGAAGGAGCTTATTATCTGAGTTCAGTTCTTTAGCTGTGCTTATATTAAAGCATAGGTATCATTAGCTTCTGGAGCAAAACAAATTACTGACACACCCTCCAGCACTTACTGGAGTGGCTGTGAGGGTTACTGGAGGAGGTGTGAGTGCTACTGGGGGGAGAGCTGGAAGGTTTGTGAGTGTTACTGGGGTGATAGCTGGAGGGGGTGTCAGGGATACTGGGGTGAGAGCTGGAGGTGTAGAGTGTTACTGGGGAGAAGCTGGAGAGAGTGTGAGGGCACTAGGAGTAGAGTGCTGGAGGGTGTCAGGGTTACAGAATTGGGTTGAGTGCTGGAGGGTGTGAGGTTAGTGGGGTGAGTGCTGGAGGGTGTCAGGGATACTGGGGTGAGTGCTGGAGGGTGTGAGGGCTAGTGGGGTGAGTGCTGAGGGGTGAGGTTACTAAGGGAGAACTAGTGAGGGTTAGTGGGGTGAGTGCTGGAGGGAGTGTGAGGGTTACTGGGGTGAGTGCTGGAGGGGGTTTGAGTGTTACTGGGGGGAGAGCTGGAGGAGGTGTGAGGGTTACTGGGGTGAGTGCTGGAGGCGTATTAAAGTTACTAGGGTGAGTGCTGGAGGGGGTGTGAGGGTTAGTGGGGTGAGTGCTGGAGGAGGTGTGAGGGTTACTGGGGTGAGTCCTGGAGGGGGTGTGAGGGTTACTGGGGTGAGTCCTGGATGGGATGTGAGGGTTACTGGGGTGAGTGCTGGAGGGTGTGAGAGTTACTGGGGGGGGGGAGCTGGAGGAGATGTGAGGGTTACTTTGGTGAGTGCTGGAGGAGGTGTGAGGGTTACTGGGGTGAGTCCTGGAGGGGGTGTGAGGGTTACTGGGGTGAGTCCTGGATGGGATGTGAGGGTTACTGGGGTGAGTCCTGGAGGGGATGTGAGGGTTAGTGGGGTGAGTGCTGGAGGGGGTGTGAGTGTTACTGGGGGGAGAGCTGGAGGAGGTGTGAGGGTTACTGGGGTGAGTGCTGGAGGCGTATTAAAGTTACTAGGGTGAGTGCTGGAGGGGGTGTGAGGGTTAGTGGGGTGAGTGCTGGAGGGGGTGTGAGGGTTACTGGGGTGAGTGCTGGAGGGGGTGTGAGGGTTACTGGGGTGAGTGCTGGAGGGGGTGTGAGGGTTACTGGGGTGAGTGCTGGAGGGGGTGTGAGAGTTACTGGGATGAGTCCTGGAGGGGGTGTGAGGGTTACTGGGGTGAGTGGTGGGGGGGGTGTGAGGGTTACTGGGGGGAAGAGCTGGAGGAGGTGTGAGGGTTACTGGGGTGAGTGCTGGAGGGAGTATGAAAGTTACTAGGGTGATAGCTGGAGGGGGTGTGAGGGTTTCTGGGGTGAGAGCTGAAGGTGTGAGGGTTAGTGGGGTGAGTGCTGGAGTGCTGGAGGGGATGTGAGGGTTACTGCGGTGAGTCCTGGAGGGGGTGTGAGGGTTACTGGGGTGAGTCCTGGAGGGGATGTGAGGGTTACTGTGGTGAGTCCTGGAGGGGGTGTGAGGGTAACTGGCAGTGGATGTTATTCTGTGTGCCTGGTCCTCCTTTTTTAAATATGGACATGGACTTGATCACTTGAATGGGAAACTAGACAATGGATTTGCTAATTTTAGGACAAAATACCTAAAATGGAAAATCTCACACTCCTGATAATTTTGACAGATTGTGGTATGGGCCAAGTGCACAGGATTTCTTCCCAGTGCATGTCTACTTGTGAATAAACAGATCTCAAACACACAGTTCTTTGTTATTTAGTCCCCATATCAGCATCTACAAGAAAAGTTACGTCAGCGTGGGCGAAACGAAAAAAGAGAGACTTTGGACATGTTTTTTGCTTTTTCACTCAAAAGCAGTTCTGACTCTGAGTACACTACATGTTAAGGTAACACCCAATAGAGGTATTCTATGTTACCACATTTTCTTACCCAAGCAAAAGATATTATTTATTTGTCCTGTGAAACCTTAATCCCTTAATCAGATAAAATCATTGAAATTCCAACATAGTCAAAAGATATCATAAGACTAAGTACTAATAAGACAGGACTACTTTGTCTTATGGTAAATCCTCAAGTTGACAAAAGGCTAAGCTACTGCCATCAAGTTTTGTGACTTCCCACAGCCATCGCGAAATAAAATATCTATGGAGGCTACCTCAGTCTTGCTGTATCCTCCTTTGACATTAGTGTTGTACTCTTGCTCATGTGCGAGAGTAGAGTACTAACATGGGCTCCTGGCAAATGAAACACCAGGAGCTAAAGAGCAAAGATGAGCGGACAGCATTAAGTAAGTATAACCCACCTCTGTTGCAATCCTGGGTCACCCAAGAAGGGGACAGAGTTGCGTTATTGGTATTGGACCAACATCTGTTCTATTTGGTTTTTACCACTTAGACATGACTTTTAAAGACATCTCCCAAAATGTAAAAATGACAAACTTTTTAAAGTAAAGTAAAAAGCCATTTATATAAGGTTTTGATATGATGTGTTTTTGTTTTGTGAAACTCTACATGACACCTGTCTCTAACCCCTTTGTTGACGTTAGCAATCTGCAAAATCGCATCTGTATTGTCATTCATTTTTACTGATGTTAGCAACCAAACTTGCTTGTTAGGTTTTTACAAAAATGTGTGTTTCCAGACACAATAGGGAATACATGCACACTCACCTGACATAGAACTGGAGTTGGCCCCCCCATATCCTTTATGCATCTTACAAATAGTACATAAAACAATGCAAATAAATAAGAATAATCTTCTGCGCCATTCAAGTTTGCTACAAATTAGCAGCTTCATAAAAAACCAGGAAGAGGATGGTTATGGGAAGCCAGTCATGTTCCTATCATTGTTCCTAATGGAGGTGCTTATCATATCCCATAATTCTCTTTTCAGCAGAGGTTTATGAGACAATTCAGTTAAGCAAATGGCAGGAGCAGATGCTAAAGAATTAAAATATTGTTAGAAAATATAATAGAATTAAACTACTGCAAGTTACAGAAGTATTTGTGTAGGATATTTTTTAGATTACTTAATAGTTTCAGGTTTTTTTTTTTTTAGTAATTAATTTACTTGGCAGTTACACCACAGACACAATGCATTGATTAAGTGTGCAAAGGTTTGTGAAGATATGCATGCAAATATTTATGTGGTCACTGAGAGGCGTACCTTCCTCTGAGATGTATCATAAGGCAGGAAAGGGAGATTTAGCTTGAACAATTAGTGCCAATCAATGTGACACTTTGGCAGCTCTTCATTATTAGCCGTGAGTCTCCCACAAAGCAGCAAATGGAAGTGTTACTTCTCTCTAACAGGGTTTTCACCGAAGAGAGAATTCCAAGTGAATTGAGAATGTCATCAAATTAACGGGAAAGTAGCTGAACTGAAAGGATAGATGATTTTTTTTTCAGTTAATGGGACACTATAGTCACCTGAACAACTTTAGCTTAATGAAGCAGTTTTGGTGTATAGAACATGCCCATGCAGCCTCACTGCTCAATCCTCTGCCATTTAGGAGTTAAATCCCTTTGTTTATGAACCCTAGTCACACCTCCCTGCATGTGACTTGCACAGCCTTCCATAAACACTTCCTGTAAAGAGAGCCCTATTTAGGCTTTCTTTATTGCAAGTTCTGTTTAATTAAGATTTTCTTATCCCCCGCTGTGTTAATAGCTTGCTAGACCCTGCAAGAGCCACCTGTATGTGATTAAAGTTCAATTTAGAGATTGAGATACAATTATTTAAGGTAAATTACATATGTTTGAAAGTGAAACCATTTCTTTTTTCCATGCAGGCTCTGTCAATCAAAGCCAGGGGAGGTGTGGCTAGGGCTGCATAAACAGACACAAAGTGATTTAACTCCTAAATGACAGTGAATTGAGCAGTGAAATTGCAGGAGAATGATCTATACACTAGAACTGCTTTATTTAGCTAAAGTAATTTAGGTGACTATAGTGTTCCTTTAAGATATTTTTACCTTAAAGGACAATTGTCATCAAATTTTTATTTCTCATTTTATAAAAGTTGATTGCATTAAAGAAACCTCACAATATTTTTGAAATGATGTAAATTGATTTCTTTTTTAGAAGACTTTACTTTTTTATCTGCCTGAGCAGCCATGCTCGGTCACACTCCACGCTACTCAACCTATCTTGCCAGTAGCTGTGATTGCTCTGTGCTCTCTGTGTTAAATGCAGCTGCAAGTATGTTAGGTTGAGCAGCAGTTTGCGAAATGTCACTACGAGAGATCTTGCTCTCATTAGAGAGATTATTATTACTTTATTATTTATATAGCGCCATCAGATTCCGTAGCGCCGTACAATGGGATCTCCTTTAAACGCTTCCACTGTCTCAAATTCAGGCAGTGAATAAACACTATGTGTTTATTAAATGCACCATACTCTTCCTTCTTCTTACAAAGTAAAATTGTAATATATACTATTTATATTCCATCTGACATAGTATTTAGTACATATATGATCTATAACACTACACCAACTTTAACCCCAATATGTGTCGAAAAATGAGTCGAATTCAGTTAATTTTTATTAACATGTTTATTATTAGTCTATTAGTGTTCACATATATGTATCACGCTTTTAGTCTTTTGAAACATTAGCAGAATTCTGCAGTTTCTAATAGATGTCTCTATTTCACTTCTTATATATATATATATATATATATATATATATATATATACACACACATGGTTGTCAGGGTATTTATATCAGCAGACATTTTGTGCTATGATAGAAACTAAAAGTGTATATTCTGAGTCACTCTGAACAGACCAGACTCCATTTTGTTATTTCAAATTAACAAAGAAGACACTATA